CCTTTAGAAGTCCTGGCTGGGAATATCATCTTTCTAGTCAGAAGAGATATTTAAAGACTGCTGTGTTTATACCCTGACTCAAGCTACATCTGGGACAGATGTGGGTTTGGGTTTTTGTTATTGTTTTTTGTTTGTTTGTTTGTTTTCCCTTCACAATATGCAGACTGGTCAAGAGTAGTTCCTCAACCCTATAATCTCAGCACCCAGAAAGCTGAGGCAGAAGGATTGCTGCAAGTCTGAGGCCAGGACATGCTACATAGTGAACCTGGGGGCAGCCTGGGCTACACTGTCTCAAGAGAACAAAACAAACACAAGCTGCAAATGCTATCTTGGAAATGCACATGCATGCACTCAGAGTCAGGCTAAAGTTCAGACTGAAATGTAAATGATTCCTGGCCCAACACACCCCGGACAACATGAAGGCCTCTTTTTAACTCCTTGGGCAAATTCTGCCTCTGCATCTAGCCTGTGCCCTGAAGAGTGATCTTTGCAGTCTGAGTTATTATTCAGTAAATGCTTGCCAGGTACAGAGAGTTTTAGAGTATCATTTTTAAGTGGTAGTAGTGGCTGGTTTTTCAATTACTTTCCTTAGGACCAGGAACTCATTTTCTCTTCCCAACAGACTAGGGAAGTTGGCAATATTATTTTCACTCCCATCCTGTAGATGAGGAAACTGAGGCACAGGAAACAAGTGGGTTTGTCCAAGGTCACAGAGCTAGTAAGCTGTAGAGCCTGAGTTTGAATCTAGGCAGTCTAGTTCCTAAACACTATGCTATCTGACCTCTTTGGGAATCTGATAATGAAGGAACAGAGAGCAAAATGTTCCCTGGCTAGAGTGAGGCTCTATTGGTAGACTGCTTTCTAGCATGCGCAAAGGTCTGGGTTCAGTCCCTGGTATTACATAACCAGGGGGCTGATGATGCATGCTTGTGATCCTAGCGCCAAGAGGCAGAGGCTACCATTTCAGAAGTTCAAGGTTATCTCTGGCTACCACTGTGTAACAAAACTTTTCCTGGGATATACAATATACACATCTGCTCACTCCAGATACAGAACCCAGGACAAACCAAAGTGCAGAGACCACCAACAAACAATTTGGTGAACCAACAGGAATATGGGTGAGGGTTACTTACAGGAACAGAAATGTCTCAAAGATGGCTATATCACCAAAGCCCACCCCAGCATGGTGACAGCTCACAAAGCTGGGAACCTGAAACACACCTCACAGTCTGCAGGCAGCTCAACAGGTTATAAAGAGTTCTTTCCAGATGCCTCGGTTGGTCTAGCCCTCTGCTAGTTTCTGTTCCTTCCAAGCAGCTGCTCTGCTCTCAGAGCCCCCCTCCTTTTTTTTTTTTTTCAAGCTCAGTTCTCCTCTGCCTGAGGAGGTGTGTTAGTCAGAGTTATACTGTTGTGAAGAGACACCATGATCATAGCAATTCTTATTTTAAAAAAGCATTTCACTGGGACTTGCTTACAGTTTCAGAGATTTAGTTCATTATTGTGGTGGGGAACATGGGGTCACACGGGCAAACATGATGCTGAAGAAGTAGAGTTCTATATCCATATCTGCAAGCAGCAGGAAGAGAGAGAAAGCCACTGGCCCTGGCTTGGGCTCTTGAATCTAAAGCCCACCCCCAGTGACATACTTCCTCCAACAAGACCACACCTAACCCAGCAAGGACATACCTCCTAATCCTTCTACGTAGTGCCATTCTCTGATGTCTAAGCATTCAAGTACATGAGCTTAGGAGGTGATTCTCATTCAAACCATCACAGGAGGAGTCTCAGAAACTAGTCAGTTTCAGGGACTTCCTGAAGCTATTTTGAAGTGTTTTATCTTCCTGTGTAAGCAGCTTCCTACAGGGTGGAATGTTTTGATCTCTGAGGAAACTGTTACACAACAGCTTCATAGTAACTCCAAGGTCAGCCTGAGCTACCCTAGACCTTGTCTCAAACAAAACAAACATCTTCACCTAGCTTGTGTTCTGATTTGGGGAATATTGGAAATGCAAACCTACGGTAATTTCTTCAAGTGGTGACAGTTCTGGTGCAGGGCAACAGAAAGCTGAGGAGAAGTCTTAAAAGCCACAGCCAGGAGTCTGGTGTGCAGTGAGAGATGGTAGGAGAGTTGAAGGCAGGAGGGTGGATGGATGGGCTCCTTTGCATTTCATAGAGTATTCTGGCTGCACAGTGGCAAGGAGGTGGGGACAAAGAAATTCAAGAGAAAGTAGTAGCTGGGTAGGAGGCCGTTCTGATGGGCAGATGGAGGAGAATGGTGGCCTGAGCCAGTATTGGGGGGTGGGGAGTATTGGTGAGGAGAGGTTGGATTGGGATTCCAGCCTCTGGCTTGGTGGTTGGGCCCTAGAGAACTTGTTTGATAAAAAGCATGAGGGAAAAGAGCCCAAGGGCATTCTCCAGATTTCAGCTTGAACCATTAAGTAAACAAGGGTGCTTTGAAAGAATATGTGTTTATTTCACATGACATTTTGATACAAAGCTATCATCTAAGTTCATGCTCAAGCATATGCAGCCAATTTACTAACACACATACATACACTTATATGCATACATATATACATTCATACATACATGTACATACACACATATACATACATACAGATATACATACATCTCATCATGTTTTAAGTATGTTTACAGTTCTATGCTGGGCCATATCCATAAGTATCTTGGGTCACATGTAGCCCATGAGCACCCCCGAGTAGCGGGTGGGACACACCTGGTGTATACAGTGGTGCCTCCTACTGAGGAGGAAAAGGATAGGGAGAGAGTGTTTGCTTCTGCACGGTTGTGGTGGGCATGAGGATGTTGAATCTCAAGTTCTGTCTTGGATATCTAACCCTGAGATCTCAGCAGACCCACATGTGGCAGAGTAAACAGAGGCCCACCAGTCAGGCCTGGCTGGGCACCCACGTGGACATCCTCAGTGTGTAAGCCAATGGGATTTCCTGAGAGCACATCAGACAAATGGATTTCCTGCGTGGAAAGTGTTGCATCATGGTGCCGTGGGGACCATAGACACCTTTGAGGCTTAAAATAGGTCTGGCACAGCTAAGGAAGCAAGTATTTCATTCGTTGACATTTGAGTAACTGTAGAATCCCACAGACGTAGGGAGGGACAAGCGGAAGAGTCAGAGGCCAGGAGCCTCAGCCTTCAGGAAGCCCAGCCTCATGTCCATGTTTAAGCATGGCTACTTCCACTGCCTGTCAGTGTTTGAAGTCACCTGTGTGTGTGTGTGTGTGTGTTTCTGCTATGTTTTATGGAGAATTATATAGAAGGGCAGTTGAATGAATTTGGAAACAGGAGCGGGGTGGCATCCTGAAGAATGTTCAAAGCCTGCTGCTCACATGGCTCATGGCTCAGTGCATAAGAGTACTCACTCCACAAGCATGAGGCTGTGAGTTCGAATCCCCAGTACCCACATAAAACATAAAAGCTGAGCATTACTTGTACCTGCCTGTAACCCCATAGCTGGGGGTGGAGACTTCAGGCTCACTGAAAGACCCTGTTTTCTCGGAATAAGGCAGAGAGCTGTAGAGGAAGACACCTGAAGTCCTCTTTTATGCCCTGTATGCAGGACATGCGCAAAAACATACACACATGTGCTACACTCATATAACATACATATATTACATACAAGAGTCCACTGGCCAGGGACTTCCCAGTGTGAGTGTCTCTTTAAGGGAACAGCTGCTTCCCTGTCCCTACAAGCTGCCATGTAGCCCCGGGTCCAGGCTGCAATCAGAGAAGCCCGAGTCAATAAAAAAATAAATAAATAGAATGGAAAGATGGGTGGTTGCTTTCATTAAGGTTGATTGCTGCCGCCGCATTAGCGCCTTCAAGCCTCCCAGTGACCAGCACCTTCAGAGAAAATGACCCTCCTGTGCTTAATTGGCGAGAAGTGAGAGGATGTGAGTTCCAGCTTTTAGGAGGAGTAAGCCACGGTCAACACCAAGCGCTTGGTGTACAACTGACTTGGGGGTAGAAACCTTTTCCCTCCAAGGTTCATGCCGGGGGCTGTGCGCTTGAAGGAGCAGGGCTCTAACTAACCTGTTCTAACATTCCTTTTGGTAAATTGGACTGTAGGTTTCCAGTATTTGAAAAAACGAAAAGAAATTAGTGGTCGGATTAGCAAGATGGTTCAGTGGGTAATGGAGCGTGCTGCCAAGCCTGATGACCTGAGTTCAACCCCCGAATTCCATATGGTAGAGGGGGACAACCTAGTCCCACAAATTGTCCTCTGACCTCCGTATCTCACACACACACACACACACACACACACACACACACACACCTCACTCACACACTCCAAATAAGTTAAATGGAGTGAAAAATGTTTAAGTTAGTGATCCCCCACTGGAAGTCCATTTTCAGCTGAGGATACAGGACTGTAAAGTAGAAGTGCCTGGAACTTCCTGAGACCTGAGGAGCCCAGCCCAGAGCCCAGAGCCTAGAGCCCAGCTGTTCCCACACAACAACTAGAATTAGGAGCAGGAGGGAAGGTGGACCATCTGAAGAATGTTTCAGGGAAGCCAGAGGAGGGTTGACCTGTACATGGAAAGGGCTCAGGAGATAACGGGCTGAAATGGACAACCTCCCTCATCCTGTCCACACTGAGGAAGCAAGGACAGGGAGCCCTGGAGGAAGGCCAGGCAAAGATAGCAGCCTCAGTGAGCTGCTGTGCCTACCTGTTCCTGTGTGCTCCAGAATCTTCTCTAGGAGAAGATGGATCTCTGAACTTATGGCTCCCTTTTTCTCAGGGGAGCGAGAGGAGTGACAGGCAGAAAGTTGAGATTAAAGCAACAATTAGGTCGACTTGGGAACAGAGCAGCTGCAGATCAATCGCAGGCTGGGGAGCAACTGTGAGCTGTCTCAGGGAGGAGGAGCATTCTCTCCACATCAGTATTGATCACGGATGTTGAAGAGAGTCTACGCATTCACTCTTTCCCAACACGTGACCAGGCTTTTCCTTGTCTTTCAGTATCCGAGTTCCAGGAGGAAGGAATGAACGCCATCAACCTGCCCCTCAGCCCCATCCCCTTCGAGCTGGACCCTGAGGACACCATGCTGGGTAACTGCCCTTCTTATCTCTAGAACAGCCTAGCGCCCACAGCTCAGACAGCCCACCAAACTCCTTTTCCTTTTCTAGCTCTCTTTTTACTTTTAGGATTTTTGTTGTTATTGTTGTTGTTGAGACAGGGTTTCTTTGTGTGGACCCTAACTATCTTGGACATCACTCTGTAAAGTAGGCTGGCCTTGAACTCACAGGGACCCACCTGCCTCTGCCTTCCAAGTACTGGGATTAAAGGCGTGCACCACCACACCCAGCAGGATTTTTTAAAGAATTTATTCCTTTGAGAATCTCATCCATATGTGTAATGAAATGTGATTGTATCCACTTCCATTTTCTCTCCAAGTTCCACATCCCCTCAACATGTCCCTCCCCCAACATCATCTCTTCCACCTTTTTCTTTTTAATGACCACTAAATCTCCCCACAGCTGTGGAGTTACGGGCTATCCACAACCGGATGCACAACTAAAGAGTCATTGTCCCTCCCTCAGTGACCCCCACCTGTCTGTAACTCTTTAGCAAGGGGTGGAGCCTCCAGAGCCCCTCCTCCATCCAATCTGGGATTCTGGCTGGCTTGATCTTGTACACATCTGGTTCAGGTGCCCACAGCAGCTGTGAGTTTGTAAGTGTAGTAGCCATGTCATGTCACAGCACTCCTCCCCATCTTCTCTTGTCTCCTATGTCATTGCTGTCCCCTCTTCCTCAGTGTTCCCATGTAAGTAACACTCACAGTTACTTACCCCCAGCACTTTGGCCAGTTAGACCCGGCTGCTCTCAACCTTGCTTTGCAGTAGGCAGCACTCAATGCAGAGACCCTGTTTCCTTTTACAGAGGAGAATGAAGTGCGGACGATGGTGGATCCAAACTCACGCAGTGATCCCAAGCTTCAAGAGCTGATGAAGGTAAGGACAGATGAGGAGAGACTCTGGGAGACTTTTCCACATCGTCTCAGCCTAGGCAGGTATCGTGATGGCACTGTACGAGGGCCACTGCAAGGAGGGCCACGGTCATTCCCAAGGCCCTCAAAGGAACTTGTAAAGTTGAAATTAGGAACAGCCCCATTCTCTAGGTGGGGAACTGAGTCTTAGGAAGCCCTGTGATTTGTTGATGGTCTAGCTGGTTTAAAGAGATAGAATTGGGGGCTGGAAGTGTGGCTCAGTGAGTAGAGTACTCTCCTAGCATGCTCCCTGCTCTGGGTTCCACCTCCAGTAGAGTATAACTTGGCATAGTGGCACATGCCTGTAATCCAAGCACTTGGGAAGTAGAAGCAGAAGAATGAGAAATCCAAGGTCACCCTGAGTAACATAGAGCATTTGAGGCCAGCCTGGAGTATTTGAGACTGTGTCTCAGAAAGAGAAAAGAAGGAAAAAGGAGAAGAAGGGAGTGAGGAAGGAGGACAACTGTATGTTATATGTGGCACCTTGGCCATCATGTGCTTTTCACTTCTTGTCCCCCACCCTCTGTCCCTCCTCTTTGTTCCCAAGCCTCACTTAAGACAGAGAAGTGAATAAGTAGTTCCTGAGTCCACTTCTAGTTTCTTCCTGCTCAAAGTCTGGCTGGAGTTTTCTCTCAAATGCAGAGCCAGATGGTATTTGAGTCTTTGCTCTGGCTCTCTCTTACCTGGCCTCAGGGATTCTACCCACCTAGCACGACAGCTGGCTGCTGGCTGCAGTACTCCCTGTCTCCAGGCCTCTCCTTAAGCATCTCTCTCCTTGGATTGCCCCTGGCTTCCTGCACACCACTTCCTCCACGAGGTCCTAGCTAATGGCCACTGCTATGACTCAGCCTCTCTTTATAGCAGTGGCTCCATCTCCAGGGGCAGGTGCTCGCTCCCTCCCCCTCCTCTCTCTCCTAGCCTTTTCTCTGGTGAGCTTCTTGGGGTTAAAGACTTCTCTTTCTTTGGAGCCATTACATCCCCCAAAGTCTAGCACAGCATGCCACAGATAGTGTGTATTTCACATGCATTGGCTGGAAGGGAAGAACAAGAAGGAAGTGAGGAAACCTTTCATAAAAGCAGCCAGCCTGGGCCCCGGAAGATGGCTTAGTGGGTAAAGTGCTTGCTATGCAAACGCGAGGATCGGAGTCTGGATCCTAGAGCCCACAGAATGGAAACTAGACGTGCCGACCTGCACTTGAAGCCTTTCTCTCCGGGAAGAGGGGGATGGAGAAAGCTGGTCTCGACAAAAGGTGACTTCAAGTTCAGTGAAGAGACCCTGTCTCAAAAAAATAAGGTGGAGAGTGCTGGCCGCAAATAAGCAAAGCCAACCTCCGGCCCCTGCACATGAACACACATGTCCGCCCACATGCATGTGCGCTGCTTCAGACACATCACACACACGCGTACCAGGCTGTTCAAAAGTGCAGTCAGAAATTGTCCCCGTAGCTAACACTAACTCAGTGGAACAAAGCCGTGTGCGGTGTGGACTGTTGGGAGAAGCTGGAGGACTGAAGGATGCCTCTCCTCAGAGGAGCTGAGTAAATGCTCCTTCAGTGGGCCCTACTACTCCTTAGAACCTGGGCCTTTACAGGTCCCACAGACATGCTGATATCGTCTGTGCTGAACCCATTGATGGCTCCCCTGGTCCAGGAGGACCCCGAGCCCTCACTTTGCCATGCAGGGAGAAGGTAGGGCAACTGTAGTTGAGGTTCTGTCTGCCTTTGTACCTCTCTAGGGGTGCTTGGCCTGAGGGACCGATACTGAAGAGGGTTATCTCTGTGCTGGTATTAGTTACTTTTCTATTGCCATGACAAAGCACCGTGACTGGGGCAACTTGTAAAAGAAAGCTTTTAACGTGGGGCTCATAGTTCCAGAAGGTTAGCGTGCATGACTGTCGTGGCAGAAAACATGGCAGCAGGCAGGCAGGCATGGCACTAGAGCAGTACCTAAGAGCTTGTATTTGATCCATAAACATAAGGGAGAGAGAGAGAACAAACCTAGCGACACAGTTCCTCCAACAAGGCCACATCTCCTAATGCTTCTCAAACAGTTCCATCAACTTGAGACAAGGTATTCAAGCACATTATGGGAGCCATTCTTATCCAAACCACCACAGCTGGTCATGGCACAGTACACTCCTGTGCTGGGCTGGACAGTGCTCTCCTGGCCCAGGAGAACTCCAAAAGGGAAGAAGTTCATAGTTCAAGCTCTGCTGTCTGGGCTCTAGCACTGATCTCCTAGACCAAGGACTTGTCTTGCAGAAAGAGGAATAAGCATAAGCAAAGCACAGCATTGCCCAGCAGGCCAGAACCTCACTCCAGGGACAGCTCTGACTTTCCAGATCTAGGTTTCACTGGCCACCTTGAAATCCTAGTCTCAAACCCCTTACCTTTTTAGAGACTCCTAAAAAACAAGGCTTTGGGGGAGCATCTAGTCTTTGCTGCCTGCTTCTGTATGCTCTCTGCCTGGGTAGGACCTTGTGATGGTTACTCTTGAGTATCAACTTGGGGGGATTTAGGATCCCACTCTGGAAACAAATCTCTGGGCATGCCTCTGAGTAACTGTCTAAATTAGGTTGATGTAGGAAGACCCACAAGTCTATGGGCTGGGTCCTTTAAAAAAAATGAAAAGGAAAAGCAAGTGAGCTGACCACCAGCACCCATCTCTCTGTGCTTCCTAACTGTGGGTACAGCATGACCGGCTGACAGTAACTACCTCGCCAAGTACCATAAAGGGAGAGTGTTTGATAGGCTAAGAAGATCTGTCTTCCAGGAAGTATTTGGCCATTATTTGGTAATTCTTTTCCACCATCTAATACAAGGGGTGCTTGGTCCATGGTGTTAGAGTTCAGAAACCAGAGGCTCAACAGAAGTAACTGGCTTGCCTCAGACTCACAGATGACAGAGATGGGCAGACACAAGTTCAGAGATGACAAGGGTATGTACACGCACAGGGCTATGAGTAGATCACTGTCCACAGAGAGGCCCGTCCTACCCTTATACCCTCGGCCTCATTACAGTGTACATCATGGATGGAGCTGGGTTTTGACCCATTTGCATAACTCCAGAGTCCATACCCTTGCCTGACATGAAGCCTGTCCATAGGGGAAGGCTGGCAGAGACAGAGAAGTTCAGCAAAGTCACCGGAACTGCCCACACTGGAAGGACTAACCCTCATGTCTTGGTTAGGGTTTCTGTTGCTGTCATAGAACACCATGATCATAAACAACTTGGGGAGGGAAGGGTTTATTCAGCTTAATGCCGGTGGGCCATACTAAGGGACGTGTGAGGACAGGACCTCAAACAAGGCGGGAACCTGGAGGCAAGAACCGATGCAGAGGCCACAGGGAAACACTGCTTACTGGCTTGTTCCTCCAGGCTTGCTCAGCCTGATTTCTTATAGAACCCAGGACCACCAGCCCAAGGGTAGCACCACCCGCCATGAACCCTAGCCCTAACCCTGAACCTGGCCCTTTCCCAGTTTCATTACTAATTAAAAAAAAAAAAATGTTCTACAGACTTGTTAACAGCCAGATCATCTGGAAGTATTTTCTCCAATGAGGTTCCCTCTCTCAGATAACTCTAGCTTGTGTCAAGTTGGCAGCAAACTAGTCAACACACTCTGCAAATGCCCAGGGGTAGTGGGACTCACACCTACCATTCAGACCCAGGACTACTCTGCTGCTCCTAACTAAGATCAGAGTTGGTGTGGATTTTAATTGTCTACCATTAGAAAGCTAGTTTCCAAACAAATGCTCAGCAGCTCCCCAGTGACTCCCGCGCTCTCTCTGCAGGTGCTCATCGACTGGATCAATGACGTGTTGGTGGGGGAGAGAATCATTGTGAAGGACCTGGCTGAAGATCTCTATGACGGCCAAGTGCTGCAGAAGCTCTTCGGTAGGAGAGGGGACCGGGGCGTGACGGCTGGCTCTTAGGTCACAGTGGCCCACCTGAGAGGGGCGGAGAGAGCGCAATGGAAAGATGGGGGCTCTCGCTGCCCTCTGGGGGTACTGCTTTATGTGATGGGTGATGGGAGGAGTCTTGGGGAACCACATAGGTCTGCTCCCTGACCGTCCAGGCTCATCAGCTGGGTTGTGTGTGTGCGTGTGGGAAAGGAGAATTCTGGGATGATCTTAGTAGGGAACGGATGAAGTAGGCTTCCTTTCTCCTCTTCCTTGCCTCTGGCCCACTGCAGCCCCAGGTTTTAATTCAGCATCTGGCTGCCTTTGGACTGAGTGTACCTCTCCAGAGAAGTACCACCCTTATTGCCAGCTACCACATGTACAGTGTCACCCAGACTCCTCCCTTGCTCAGAGACCTCCCCAGGGTCTGTCTGCTCTGCTATTTGTACCGACCTCTCTGGCGCTTGTCTGAACTATTGAAAAGCTTCTGAGCTCACGTCTCCTCTTCCCATCCCACCCTGCTGCTCTGTCGCTTGCTAACTGCGACACGTGGCTAAACCGCAAGTCCTGTCCACCCGGATCTAAAACTCCCAGCGGCCCTCTCCCGCTCATCACCATCTAGACCACTTCACACAGCCCTCAAGATGCTGGGTCATCCTCCCCACCCCACAACCGCCTGCAGCTTTTCCTTCAGAAACCTCTACACGCATGGCTCGCGTGACAGGGCATGACAGGGGCAGTGAGTGGCTGTCCTCTCCACCACAGTACATTGTTTCACATGCCATGTGTTCAGCCCGATACTTCGCTCCTGTGTCTGCCTCTTAGTAGATGGTGATGCCTCCATCGTCTAAGACGAACCGTTATTGCTCATCCTTCTGGACTCAGCCTAGGCATACGGTCACATCCAGAAGACAGGGCTATGGGTGCTCCCGTATTCATCCCCCACCCCATATTTATCTAAGGGAAAGATGTGTGCGTGTGTATTCAAACATGTATGATCTGAAATACTCAAAAGTGTTTGAGTTTGTTGAGTGCTGACACAACTGGACAACTCCACCCATGGTGTGCATGATGGGTTGCCGTCAAAGAGAGTGCACCACAACTGTTGTGTGAAACTACCTTCAGCTCAGGCATGGGAGCACAAGCCGGTAATGCCGGCACTGCGGAGGACCTGTGTAAATCTGAGGCCAGCCCCAGCTGAATGATGAGCTTGTGAACAGTCAGGGCAACCTGGCAACACCACCTCCAAAAATAACAAGTGCCTTTAGTCTTTGTATCGGTTCTGTAAATGTGTATGAGCCATTGAAGACTTTTGTGTTTAAGACTTAAGTCCCATCCCTAGGATGTCTTTTATACATGGTAGCATCCCAAAATCTGATGAAAGGAAAGATATATATATATATATATATATATATATATATATATATGAAATCTGAAGGGTTTTTGTCCCAAGAATGTGGGGTAAAGGATGTATCTATATGCACACAGGTCGTATATGTGTTTCTACGTGCCTTACCTTGTGTGTTAGGTGCAGCTGGGTATGTAAGCACATGTAGCACTCTTAAAGCCAAGAAGTAGGTCTTATTTATTTTTTCCAGGCTTCTCCAGGTCTGTCAGGCTGCCTTGCACATCACCTAGCATTTAATCAATGTATATTAGGTAAGTGAATGGATGGCTAATATAAAATCTAGTAATATCATGGACACTAAACTGATTTGGTACTCAAACATCAATATTAATGAGTATTAATATTTAAAGGTTGTAAATGCTCGCTGAATACGTAATGGAAAGGCTTTGGCACATGTAATCATGGAGAGGATGTGTGGGCCCCACTGAGCATGTCCCCTGTGGCCACGGCTGTTGGCCCCTCCAGCAAGATTTCTAATCAGGCTTGGAAGCTGCCTTGCAATGCCCTATGCTAGGCTCTCGGAGCCAGGACGGAACATGGCTGTGGAGTCATCTTGCCTCCAGGGAACGGTTACAAAAGAACCTGACATCACATCTGTGTAGCTCCAGAGCAGGCCTCATGTGCCTGAAATGATCGTCTTCATGTCCCAAAGGTGAATTGCAACAGAAATCATGTTCCTCATGTGAACTTCAGTTTAACCCTCTATAAGGAGTAAGGTTGGGCCTACAGGCAGGGTGCCCAGGTGGAGAGAACCAGTGTGCAAAAATGAGTGTCATAGGAGCTCCTGGGGTAGATCAGTTTAGAGACAGATTTGAATGACCCCTGTGACCTTACGCTCCCACGCCCTCTTGTCCCATGGTACAGAAGCTACCTCCCCGTCTTTCCATCTGCTTTTCCTGCCAACATTATCAATGGATTCAGATTTCTTCTTCTTCCTCCTCCTCCTTCTCTTCTCTTCTTCTGTCATTTAACTGAATAGTGCATTCCTTCCCTGACCTGTGGCTTCTGTGTCCTCATGTTCTCCTGCTGGTTTTCTCCCACCACTGCCACCTGCTGTACTTTGTTGCCTTTGTTCTGGCAACAGATTTTTGTGTAGGTTTTTCTTCAAACATAGAGACAAAGATTTGGTGGAAAAAGTTTATAAATGGTCTTAGAAAATATAGACACACAGAGCCTTGGGGTATGACTCAGTGACAGAGTGCTTGCCTAGCAAGTCCAAGGCCTTGGGGTTCAATCCCTAGTATGGGGGAGGGGAGTTGGAAAGAAACCACAAAACAACCAAAATACATATAACCAAGTAAGTAATTTAAAAGTAAAATGCTAATAATATTATATTAAAGCCAGGTGTGGTGATCCACACTTTAAATCCCAGCACTTGGGAGGCAGAGGTGGGCAGAACCCTGAAGGTTCAAAGCCAGCCTGGTCAATATAGAAAGTTCTAGGATAGTCAGGGTTAGAGAGAGAGACCCTGTCTCAAAAAAACTGTGTGTGTAAGAGACAGAAAGAGAATCTTAGTGATGGGCTGGGCTTGTAGCTCAGCTGGAGGAGCGCTTACCTAGCATCCTAGCAGGCACACCACTGTGGGTTCCAGCCTTACACATCCACAGAGCCTGGAGGCACCTACCTGTAAACTCTAGCACTCAGGAGGTGGAGGACGGAGGTGGATCAGGATTCCAAGCTCATCCTCACTTGCATATGAGTTCAAGGCCAGCCTGGACTACGTGTTAGAACAGTGGTTCTCAACCTTCCTAATGCCACCGCCCTTTAATACAGTTCTTCCTGTTGTTACGATCTCCAACCATAATTTTTTTTGTCAGTTCTTAACGGTAATTTTTGCCACTGTTATGAGTCATAATGTAAATATCCGATATGCACAATATATGATATTGTGACCCCTGGGGTCGTGACCCACAGGTTGAGAACAACTGCTGTATTAGACCCTGTCTCCCCAAAATTAAATAAATAAAAGCTATGTTAATAAAAACAACTGCTCTGATTGCAACCTGGGCCCTCCGAGCAACCAGCTGACAGTTTGACCTAAAATTACCCTTTCACACACACTAAAATCACACTGAGGCAAGAGCACTCATCCCGAGATAACACCACCATTCCAGGAGATAAAAGGTTTCAGCTGGTTCTGTAACCTGCTGAAGAAAGAGCCTTGGGCTAGAAGTGGGACCAGGAAGCAGCAGGTGAAGGACAAGGCCCGGGGAACTCTGGGAGAGACATCAGTGTCACTCAGAGGAAACAGGAGGTATACATTTGCACTCTGGCAGCTCTTGCGGACACAGGCCATCTCGTGCTGTTTGTGCTCTACAGGGGAGAGAGCAGAGGGTGGCCCTCTGGCCTGCCTCATCCTTTCATGGGAATAGCATCAGCCCTTCAACACCTCAGAATAAGAATGTCCTAACCCCAGGCAGAGGGGGAGTGCCTTCCTGTTGTGTGATACTATTCTTCAGGAGATGTGAAAAAGTGTTTACTCACCTAGATCGGGAACCAATAAGAGACCAAAGCTTGGATGCCGCCAAAGTCCAGTTGGTGAACATGTGTTTTGTTAGGGTTTCTCATTGGACCAGGGATGACTCAAGGACGGCCGCATCACCAAAGCCCGCCCCAGCATGGGTGACAGCTCAAGAAAGCTGGCTGGCCGGAGCACACTGCACAGCCGGCAGGCTGCTCAGCGGGTCAGAGAGTGTCCTTTCCCGGTCGCTCCGTTGGTCTCCGTTTCTTAGAGACAGCTTACATTTGGGTGTAGTGCAGGTAATCACTGGTGAGATGACTTCTAGTGCAAGTGGCCCTAGCACAGGTGACCCCTGGGGAGGAGGAGCCCTAGTACGGGCAACCGCTAGTGTCACATGACCCCTAGTACGCGTGAACCCAAGTGTACTGCAAGCAAATAAATCTATGCGAATTGACTTTATACATTTTTTTTCTTAATTTAATGGATGTGCCCCATATGTCTGAAAACAGAGGTAGTTTTGAATAGTTCATAGCTGGGGAATCAGTAATACTGCAAAGTGGCCTTTACCATTTCAAATTCTTTGAGCTTAGTTATAGTGTATGTTGCAACTCTGTGAGTTAAAGCAGCGGTTCTCAACCTTCCTACCACTGCGACCCTTTAATACGCTCTCCCTTGTTGTGGTGACCCCCAACCACAAAATTATCTTGTTGCTACTTCATAACCGAAATGCTGTACCGTTATTAAGTGTAATGTGAATGTTTGATATGCAGCCCCTTGAGAAACACTGAGTTAAGGCATACAGAGCATCTGTTGTTCTGAGAACGACTTTATCCTGCCCTGTCAGAATAAATGTACGCTTCCTGGGCCTGTTGTGTGCCGTTCAGTTGCTTGTGTGAAAGCCAGTCTCGGCAAGAACGTCTTAATATTCTAACCAAAAGCGAGGAAATAGTCACAAAATAGCACACCTGAGAACAAATTCTAAACCACAGCCTATCTATTTCAGAGTATATTAGCACTTCCTAAAAGTTAACCAAATATGGATAATTTGCAGAAGTGTGGAAATGTGTGAGAAATGGCTTCCCGGGAAAATAACGCTTTAGCAGTAGATTTGTAAAGGCTCAGCTAATATGACCCTAAGAACAGAGGGGGGAAACTAGAAATCAAGAAAAAGAAAATACCTTCAATTCCTTGGCATATGGAGGAAAATTACTGTGTAACTGTAGAAACAATTGAATGGGGAGGCGGCCCCATTGGTAAGGTGCTTGCTGCACAAGGCTAAGGACCTGAGTTCAGATCCTAGCAGCCATGTTAAAAGCTGACTGTAGCAGCCTATGTATGTATGCAGGCCTGGAGAGTGGAGGCAGGAGGATTCTTGGGGGCTCACTGGCAGTCTAAGTAAATCAGTGAGCTCCAGATTTTGTGAGAGAGCCTGTCTCAAAAATTAAGATGGAGCACAATCAAGGAAGATACCTCGAGCCTTCACACTCACGTGTGTGCACGTACACACACCACAGGAAGGAAGAAAGGAAAGAAGGGAAGGAAGGGGGAAAGAAGGAGACCTTACAAAGGTAAAGCAATAAGAAGAAGAAGAAAAAACTAATGAAAGATTTGGAAAGACAACCAGATAGACACAAGAATAGAGTGTGTGGGGCAGGGCTTTTATTCTTGTCAGCAACCATCAATTACTTGTATACATGGAATTTTTTTTGCAAACAAAGGAAATGGGATGGAACCTGCCTGGACATGTACAGAAGGTGGTCAAATATGCAAGAAGCTCTGTATAGTACATATGCATTTTTTCAGTATGAACGACCTGAACCTAGAAAGATGCGCAGGATATAAATCTGTGCAGAAAAGGGCAGTAGAAATATTCGTGTGTGTATATACACTATAATCTCATTTTAAACTTTTATTTAGTTTCTTTAAAAATTTGTATGCATGCACATGTGCGTGAGCACATACTCCTGCTGCTGTATGTACTTGGAGGTCAGAGGACGACTTGCAAGAGTCTGTTCTCTCCTTCTATCTTTACGTGGGTTCCAGGGATCAAACTCAGAGTAAACAGGCTTGCATTATCAGCGGGCAAGTGCCTTTACCCAGTGAGTTTGTCCCCTTGCCGGCCTCCAGGTATATATGTCCTCTTTCCAGCCATTATTTTAAAGACAAGGGCAAAGCCGGGTGTGATGGCCTTTGAACCCAGCACTTGGGAGGCACAGGCAGGCCAGTTTCTATGATCCCAAGGCAAGCCTGGTCTACATGGTCAGTTCTAGGTCGGCCAAAGCCACACAGTGAGACCCCATCTCAGGAAAAAGAAAGAGGGAAGGAAAAGAGACTCCAATTGTATGGATGAGCATCCATAGACCTGGGCTAGCAAGCCTGGGGCTCTCGTGCGCTTGTCCCCCTTCCCTGCTCAGCCCTCTGCTGGCACACTCAGCAGTAACCTATCCCAGCAGCTTTCTCCCCCAGGTCAAGCTCCGGCTCCAAACTTGATCATCACAGTGTTTTGTGTGTCCCTTCTTAGGGCTTGCAGTTGCAACGTAGGAAAAAATAGCTTGCTTCTAAGGACGGTTCCGGTGTCATCAAGAAACAATGGGGACTGGGGAGGCAGATGATGAATTTTCCCTTTCTTTACCAGGGGAGGATTCAAAATAAGAATTCAGCTTAAAAATGGAGGTGGGGGGGAAGGCGTGGACTGACACAATGGCTGCTTTGGTAAAAGTGCTTCTCGAACCAAGTCTGATGACCTGAGTTTTACCCTTGGGATGGTGTGGCCAGAGGGGGAACTGACTCCCACAGGTTGTTCTCTGACCAACACAAACTAAGTTTCTCTCCCCAACCCATTCACACACACACACACACACACACAGATGCTGTATAAAGTTTGTTGTATGCCTGATAAATCCCTTCAGAAGTGAGGGACGGCTCGAATCAACTAGGAAGAGCAGAGAGGTACATCTGAGGCTGCAGCGCTGACAGATAGGCCACAGTCATCCTGCCGAGGCGCTGACAATAATGCATGAATGCCCAGAAGCTGCCCTCTCTCCAGTGGACAGTCTCACACCGAGGGGCATGTAACTGGTGTAAGCTGTAATTACCAAAAATAAATAAGCACTGGTCGGAGCGCTGATGGAAAGTTGAAATATTTATGTGGCGGCCCTTAAAAATGCAGAGAAAACCTATTTTAGACACATCCTGAGCCGCGCATCCTGTCTGTCCTGAATGAGCAAGGGAGCATGCATTTAGGTGAATCTAGACTCTAGCAGGCACTGTCGTTTCCATCAAGGAGGCTACCGTGGTTCTGTCCTTTGTGATAGATTAAAGTACAAGTTTAGACAGGTAAGACGATCAGGCTGTCTCCTGTGTCGGGTCTGAAGCCCACCACAATGTGGGCGCTGCCCGGAAGGAGAGAAGTCCCGGCTCACCTACCACCAAGTGCCTTCTTCTTGCTTCAGATTTGTGGCTGATGCTTTCTGCAGGCGCTCCTGTGGGCTTGTTGGAGCATGGAAGTAATGGTCCCATGAGGGGCTTTTCTATCTTCCACCTGGCTGGCAGTCCTTATAAAACACCACCCATTTTAAGACACAGTCTGATTTTAGAGATGTGAAATGTTTTATTAAAAAAAAAAAAAATAGCATGTGCCTTGGAAATGATAAAACAAGACAGTGTCTGGGCAGTGTCTGTGGTGAGGGTGGGGGTTGTGAAGGAAAGAGAAAGAGACACTTATGTCAGACTGATGTGATGGGGGGAGTGACAGCCATACAAGAGCAGACAGAATGCCTAGAAGAAGGACATGGCTGGCTGGGACAGAAGGCTGCTCAGCTGGAGCACAGCAGTAACCTTGGAAAACAAGAGGAGGAAACCAAGAGTGAAGGAAGAACCTTTAAAGGTGGCTGGTTGAACCCCACTTCTGTGGGCCTGGGGCCCTGCAGTCCAATCAAAAGGCTTCCACAGGACCAGCACTGCCACTGCACGAGGAGCAGGGTCCCTCTTCTAGAGGGTCCGCAACACAGTGGGTCCCTGGCACCCAAAGTTCAACTGACACAACCTAGAATCACCTGGGCAGAGTCTCCAGATTGCCTACCCTCTACGCCCGCAGGTGTGTGGGTGTGTCTGTGAGAATTGTGTTTGTGAGGCTAACTGATGTGGGAAGGCCCAGCCTAGCGTGGGCAGCACCAGTCCCTAGGTGGGGAGCGCTGAACTGCATGAGTGGAGAAATGCAGCTGAGCAGAAACAAGCAAGTGAGCATGTGTACATTCGTCTCCGTGTGATGTCACATGACCAGCTACCTCAGGCTCCTGACACTGTGACTTCCCCACAGTGATGGAAGGTAGCCTGGAACTATGAGCCAACCTAAATTTTCCTGACCGTGTTATTGGGGTATTTTTTTCACAGCAACAGAAATGGAGTCAGAACAGACTATAAATTGAATTTTTTGAGCAGAAATTTCATCTGTACTAAAAATGCCTATGCTTTTCTTGTCACAATTCTTAAATGATATAGAAAATCAGTATGTGATGGCCTTTATGTTATATGAGGCATTTGAATAATGCAGAGATGATTAACGCATAGGAGAAGCTTACATAGGATTATGAACACCCTGCCATTTTCAACAGGATGCTCAGACATCCCCAGATCTGATTACGTAGATTACTGTTGCGGGGTAGGGACCCCGAAACAGTCCTAGGCTCACTTGACTGAGCGGCTGAGTGTTGTCATAAGTGAATGTCCGAAGCAACAGGCCTGAGGTGGGTTTTCTGGGACTCAAGATAATGGCTGCTCTTTTCCCTTGCCACCGCAGAGAAACTGGAGAGTGAGAAGCTCAATGTGGCAGAGGTTACCCAGTCGGAGATCGCCCAGAAGCAGAAGCTGCAGACGGTGCTGGAGAAGATCAACGAGACCCTGAAGCTTCCTCCCAGGAGCATCAAGTGGAACGTTGACTGTGAGTTGTGCGGGGGACGCCAAGATGACACCAGTGCCTAGGGTGTCCTCACCATTTTTCAGCTGTAAGGCCTGGCATGCAAATTTGTTTCTCTTTGGGAAGCACCTCTGGGGGGAAAGATAGCTTATCATACAAACCCTGGGGGTGGAGGAGGGGCGGGAATAACGAACTGTCCTTGGAGTGTTTCTTGGTCTGGAATGTTTTCTGTGGCTCCGGGTGAGCTTGGAAGGGAAGTGATGAATTCCTGGAGCCACTTCTGAGACCCACTCGGACTGCTGAGAGCATGCTCTCTCTAGCATGTAGAAACTTTGGGAAGCTGAGGGCCATACAGCTGAGAAGCTTCAGGTCTGTCCAAAACCCCACACCCTGCCACTTCTACTCTGTTTCTCAGAAGATCGAAGATACTGCTAAGTCCAAAGCCCTAGAAAGGGGTTTGTTTTAATGTTTTGTTTATTAGAGTGTGTGTGTATGAGAGAGAGAGACAGACAGACAGACACAGAGGGGGATGGGGAGAAGGCTCATGCCATAATACAGATCTGAACGTCAGGAGACAGCTTTACGAAATCAACTCTTTTCACCTTTATGTGGGTTCATTTCCTCGATTGCTTCTACTCAGCTTGATTTCTCCACTCATCAAGTTCAGGACCCATTCTAGGGAATGGTGCCTCCCACAACTGGGTGAGGTCTTGCAGTTAAATGGTCACTTACAGTGAGGGGGGATTTCTTTTTCTTTCCTAGTCATGTTGGATCCATTTTAAGTCCTATAAATGGGATGGGTAGCCTCTGCCACACTGCCATCGTATGAGTTAACTTACAGATAGTCCACCCCAAACACCCGCAGACCACCCAATGCAATCAGTCCCTCGCTGTGACTCCTCCTGGGTGAGTCTGAGTCTAGACTGTGTCAAGTTGGCAAAGTCAGCCCGCAAAAGCCAAAAGAAGGTGTCAGATCCCCTGTGACTGTGAGCTGCTGTGTGGATAATGGGTATCAAACCTAGGCCCTCTGGGAGAGCAGCTAGTGTTCTTAACCTCTGAGCCATCTCTCCAGCCCCCAGACAGTTAATTCTTCTGATGCCTCAAGAGTGTGCCTTGGCATCTAATTTAAACTCAGATTCAACAGTGAGTCAACAGATCACATGACACTAGCAATGACAGTCGATCCCCAGTCAGGAATCTTACTGATTTTTGTTTGTTTGTAAAGAAACAATTGCAGATTTTCAGTGCAAATAAAATAGTTAGACAGTGCTTGGATCTAAGTATTAGGAACTTTGTTTTATTGCGTCCCATTTATAGGCCTTAAAGTGGATCCACCCCCTAGAAAAAATTTTATTTATTTTTTTTTTCAAAGTTAGAAAAGAAAAAGAAACCCTCTCCCCCACTTTAGTGACCTCATAGCTGCTGGGGGCTGTCTCCTTTCCTCATTTCTGACATCTGACATTGGCGCCAAAATGCTCAGTACCTCCTTCAGCGTAATTATACCATTGCTGGCATAGAACGGCATGCTACCCTGGGAACAGGGCATTCTCTGCTTAGCCAAAGTCACCTGAGGGTAGAGGACAAGACCTGGCTTTGGGCCCAAGAAGCTATCCTGCTAAGGAGCCCTATTCCCTGTGCCCCTGGGAAAAGGACACATGGGGCTGGGATATGGCTTTTGGGGTAAAGTTCGTGAGGCCTTGAATTTGAGTCCTAGCATCTACATTAAAAAAATTTTTTTTTAAAGCCCGGAGTAGTGCTGCTTGCCTGTAATTTCAGCGCTGATAAGGTGAAGACAGGAGGAGCTCTGGGGTTCACTGGCCAACCCTGGCAAAGTAAATCAGTGAACTCCCAGCTCAGTGAGAGACCCTATCTCAAAAAACAGGGTAGAACTATTGAGGAAGACACTTGACCACCTGATATTGACCTCTGACCACACACAAACACACACACACACACACACACACACACACACACACACACACACACACACTTTGCAAGCCAGTTGCTACTCTCAGAAGGCTATTTGGCTGGATGTCTTTGCTGTCTTTCTGTTTACTTCCCCTGAATTACTCTCTCTGGCTGGATGTCCAGAATGGAGATGGATTAGTGGGTCAGAAGGGATAATTATCCTCTTGGCTGCTCCGTGTGATGCCTCGGGGCATCAAGAAGAGCTGGCGCTTGTTTACAAGAAGCAGTATGTTCTAGAAGAAACAGAGCGGCACAACTCGCAGAGAGCAGTTCTCCCCTTTCTCTTTAATCAGCCCTGGCTGTGCATTTGGGGACACGGTGTCGCCTTTATGCCCAGGACAAGGGTGGCAGGGACAGGCTGCTGGGTTACCAAGGTCTTTGATCTAGGACTTGAGGGATTTCTTTCTTTTCTGCTCACAAACAGAATTTTTTATGATTGGGAATTTAGGAAATGCCAGTAGATAGAGACACATTTAAATATTAATGTCTGTTTTAATCCTTGCAGTGCTCCCACGCCCACCTCAGGTAACCCTTTTCCTCACTCTTGTTTCACAGATGGGAAAAATCAAGGCTCAGAGAAGTTACAAACATTACCACCGCAGTGTCAGGGATTCTGGTGTCTTCACTGTCCTTTCCCCAGAACAAGGGAGAGTAACTGCTATTGGGATGTACTCAAGAATACACCACACATGGGACAGATTTGATAAAAAAAGATATTTATTGGATGGGATGGAGAGAGAGAGGGAAGGAGAGAGAGACAGACAGACATGGTGGGGGAGAGGGCCCCTCTACAGAGAGAGGGGAGAGAGCAGAGAGGGGTAGTGGCAGATGAGCTTTACCTAAGTACCTGTCCCAGACGCTGTCAGAGGACACAGGTTCTGACATAGGATGCTGACGGGACCCTAAAGGTCTCTAAGGGCAGGCCAGTTGAATTGCCCGCACGGCATAACAAACGGTGCGCTTGGTGTCCTCTAGTGTTCGCTGAAGGAGCGCTGCCACCCTGGTTACAGAGTCTGAGCAGTGTCGCCAGCAATCTGTTCCAGGGAGCCGGCTGCAGAGCCAGGCTGTGTATTGAGCCTCTGCACATGGCCTCTATAAGCTTCATAACCAGAAATGGGCCCTGAAGCTTCTAGAGTATTACTGCAAGGCGTGCGTGCATCTGTCTGTGTATGTGTTGTGTGTCTCTGTGTGTGTGTATACGTGAGTGTCTAGAACATGCTTTTTATTTATTCACGTATGAATACACATCTATGCATTTATAGACGGTAATCTCCCTATGTCCAAAGTATCCCAGGGGATGGCTGCATGTGGGTAATGTCTTTATAGATAATGCATATTGTGGCATAGTAGCTGGCAAAGATCTTCTCCCATTCTGTAGGCTGTTTCTTCACTCTGGTGTGTTATTCCCTCTGCTCTGCAGAAAGTTAGAATTTCATCCTATGCCATTTTTCAGTTCATGGGGTCATTCCCTGGACCATTGAGTTCTTAGTGGGAATTCCTGAGAATTCTGTGCCTGTATAGAAGTCTTTTACTTGGGCTTTCTTCTAGTGTCTTCAACTCTTCAACTTTAAGACCTTTGATCCATTTCAAATTGATTCTTAATCAGGGTGAGAGATACCGCTCTAGTTTCATTCTTTTACATGTGGATGTCTGGGTCTCCCAGCACCCTCTGTTAAAGGGATTTTCTTTTTCCTCCAGTGTATGTATTTTTTCATCCCTGTTGAAAATCAGGTGGCAGTAGCTACGTGGGCTTATTTCCTGGCATTCTATTCTCTTCTGTTGGTCTACAGGTTTGTTTTTGTGTTTGTGCCATTAATACTTTTTCTATCCTAACAACACATTTATCACACACAATAACTCTTGCTCCTGTGCCATAAGGTGTACCAACTGAGCGATCACGAAGGGCTGGAGAGATGACTGGGCAGTTAAGAGCACTGGCTGCTCTTGAAGGGTCTGGGTTTAGCTCCCAGCGCCCACCTGGCAGCTTGTAACCATCCATAACCCCAGCAACAGGAGATCTGATACCTTCCTGTGGTCTCTGAAGATGCCAGGCGCAAACAGGGTAGGGTGCACAGACAAGCAAAACATCCATACACCTGAAATAAAGAAATAAATCTAACTTTTTGAACTACTATTCTTTTTCCTTGTAATTGCATAGAATATTCATTCTTAGTGTAGACCTTGGAACCTCAGTACTTGGGTTTTTTCCTGTTATTGAATACTCTCCCTTTTTACTTAAAGGCAGTCCTTCGTGCCCTCAATTTACCTCATCTACGTTGCCAGCCTCACTGTCCTCATGCCCTGGGGCTATCATTAAGTAAAATAACCCAGTCCTGTAATACTGAGGCAACCTGACACCTGATGTGGCCACCAGGTGACCAGCAGAGGAGTAACGTCCGAGGTGTGGGTACGCTGAACAAGGCAGAGGGACACAGCTCACAGAATGGTTTTAAATTGCTTTTCAAGTACTGATCACAAGTGCATGCTTGTGCACATACATGTGTGTGTATAAACCCACACATACATGTGTGTGGATGTGCATGGCTCATGGTCTTGTCTGATGTGAGTGAAACTTCCCTTTAGTGATGGAATACTTAGATGGCACTGTCTTGACTGGTTTTTCTGTGTGTGCAAAGACTCTGTCATGTGGCTATCCCCTAGCTTTGGGAGGCTGTGACTGACTCTGTGGTTGGTGCCTGAGCTCCATCCAGCCTGAGGATTCCAAGGAGACACTCAGGAGCAGCCAGAAGAAAAGCAGCAGAAATGAGTGGGCTACAGTTAAGATCTGAGCGCCCTCATTGTCATGTCTTCTTTTCATGATCTCTGCTGTTGGCTTTTAGGAAAAAAAAAGGGGTTTTTTTTTTCTCTTCAGGAGGGAGAGAGGGGGCAGGGATAAAAATAAAAATAATTTTCAGAAGCCAGTGAAGTGGCTCAACAGGTAAAGGCATTGCCACTAAACTTGGCAACCTCAGTTCAATCCCACGAACCCACCACATGGTGGAAGGTGATATTCAACTCCCAAAAGTTGTTCTCTGATCTCCACATATGTGCCTAGGCATATGTATGCCCCCTGTGCAAGCAATAAATAAATAAATAAATAAATAAATAAATAAATAAATAAATAAATAAATAGGCCTTCAGGAGCTTAAGGTAGTAGGGTCACAAGTTCAAGGCCAGGTTGGCTACCCAGAATGTTCTGGACCCACCAGAACCACACAGTAAGAACTGCATGGTTTTGTTGTCTCTCAATGACAGAAACAACCTAAGCCATGCTCTTTCTCCTGGGTCTGAGTGCTTCCCAGCGTTTTGCTTCTGATGCCAGTGTGTGACACAGAGTCTGACATCTGTCTCATGCCTTTGATGTCACTTACCAAGATGATATTCAGTGACATCAGGAAATAAGGACTTGACTGACCTGAACTTTTCCAGCATCGAGTTTACCATTAAAAGCAAGAGGGCCTTAAGTGCGCCTACAGCCTCCAGGATCCTACCTGGGGGTGGTATAATATCCTGCCCGGGGGGCGGGGGGCAAGCCCTGGTTTGGGGCTATCCCTCAGTGGCATTGCCGTGCCAGTGGCCCAGTCCCGACCTGGAGCCATTTTGTAGTCAGTGTAGGTCTGTGGATGGTGCTTTCCAGAGCTGAACCTTCCGGAAAGCTGGATGTGCTGCTTGGTGTCATGTTGAGCCACCGCTGTGGAACAGCCACTATAAGGGACAGCGCCAGTGATGTCAAAGGACTGTCTGAATCATTTCCTCTCCTGGTAGCTTCTCAAACCTTCTAAACTAGACTCTTTGATGGGGGGGGGGGGGAACAAATGACAGCCTGAAATGATCCTTATTCGGGTGACATACACACTGGGTACTCTGGGCTTTCCCTTAACTATGTCTGCAAGGAAGAGTCATGAAGCTGGTAGGACCACACAGGCAGGCAAAAAGCCTGGGCAGGTCTGTACTTTTATGAGACAGGAAGAAAGAGGATTGCCTGGGTGCCAGGTACTTTCTCGAAAGTTATAATAAAAATACCAGTCATTCCTGGCCACCTGCAGTGTCCTGGAATCATTGAAAGTCTTTACAGTGTGTATGTCCACCTGGGAATGGCCATCCTTGTTTGAGGAGATGAACAAGTTAAGGCTCAGTGGCCAGAGTTGGCCTTACCCAAGGCTATAACCAGGAAACAGGTAACAAAGTCACATTCATGTTCTAGTCTGCCTGGCTCTGTGAGCCTCCTAAGCCAGTCTTTATCCCGTCTACTGAGAAAGCCGCACCCAGAAGGGCCCGCCCTTCAGCAGCACAAATGGTTTAGGACAGGCACAGGGCAACAGTGGAGGACATTTGGGTTAGCTTGGGGACATGGGCTACGCCCACCTGATAAGGCATGGGCAGCTAAGCTTTCTGGGTAGTTCTTGTAATTCTTCCACAGAGGTTGGCCCTGGACAGAGGAAGAGAACCAGGGCTTAGGATCTCTTGATCAAAGGAGGGTTGGTGAACAGCCTTGGACACAGGAAGCAGTAACAATCCAGTCAGGTGGGGAGGAAGTAGGTACAGTGAGAACAGGGGCCTGGCAGAGAGAGCTGATCTGAGCTCCAGACTCCGTCATTGCCTGGGGGACCTTGAGCGAGAGCAGACATGCCACGGTGGAAATCCACCAATCATGGCGTCCAAGAAGGAACCCCCAGAGCATGGCCATGAGTGGAGAGGTCGGAGGTGGGGAAATGGATGGCCACTGGGGGAATTCCCTGATGCTGAAGGTACAAGAAGCAGACACTGAGCCAGGGGTGCCGTTGTAATCACAGCTGATGCCTGTCCTGCCCAGAATCTAGAGAAAGAATCTCATCTTCTAATCTTGCGTTGTAGCCGTTCACGCCAAGAGCCTGGTTGCCATCCTCCACCTGCTCGTTGCTCTGTCTCAGTATTTCCGGGCACCAATCCGACTCCCAGACCATGTTTCCATCCAAGTGGTTGTGGTCCAGGTAAGATAAATGCTACTCTACACACCTTCACTCTTAAGTCACAGAGGCTGAGCTCGGCAACAGCCAAAGCATGTCGAGCGGATACTCAGAAGGACGGGTGAAGGCTACAAGGAATTGGTTGTGTCTGCCTGGGGGGCATCTGGCACCTGTTGCCTTATGTGTGCAAAGAATGAAAGAGTGTGTGCTTGTCTGTAGTGCAGCTTTGTGTCAGTGTGTGTCTGGGCTTTACATGGATCTGCTGGGAGAGTCCCTGTGCAGCGTGTAGCTGACGATGTGCAGTGTATGTGTTTGTGAGGCGTGCGGAGGTGAGCAGGAAGGAAGGTGTTTGCATGAGTCCTGCACTTCCCTGCAAGCTTTGCAAGATCATATTTTTGGTCTAGTGCTGAACAAGCATTGCAAATGAAGGAATGCATATTCGAGACGGTGTGTGTGTGAGGTAGTGTGTGTTGAAGCACATGCGTGTGAAGTGTGTGTAGGCATATGGGTGGGTACATGGGAGGTGTGTGTGTTCAGGCATGTCTATGTTCAAGTGTGTGGGGGTGAGTGAGAGTGTGTGTTCAACTGTGTGTATATGAGGAAATACGTATATGTGTGCGTGAAGGGGAGTGTGTTCAAGCATGTGGGGGATGAAGGTAAGTGTGTATGTGTGTGTTTAAGTTCATGTGTCGGGAGTTTTGTGTGTTCAGTGTGTGTGTGTGTGTGTGTGTGTGTGTGTGTGTGTGAGCATGCAGGCTTGTGCCCTTTGCTGCTGTTTTTTAGTCCGCAAGCAAAGCCCAGCGGGGACTTCAGGTCACCTCGTCCAGACTGTTGGAGTTTCCATTCACATATGGTCGTGCAATTTCCACAGTGAGGGTGTGACCTCTCTCACTGTGGCTAGCTCACTCCACCCCTAACCCATTAAATACTCAAATGCAATTTTATTTTCCAAATCTGTGCCTACTTAGCAAAAGGCCATCGTTGTGTTTGCTTGTCTCTGGCTTTTTGTTGTTGTTGTTTTCCAAATAAATAGTCGGAGAGAGGGTGTGTTCTGCGTGCACGCAGGCCCTGTGTCCCTGGAGCTGTCCAAGGCTCTGCAACAGATAACAGGAGGCAGCTCTGCCATCAGTGAGTGAGAGAAAGCTGTGGGCTGGTTAAGTGTGCCGGATCAGGTCAGGCCTGTTTACAGGACAAAGGGGCTTTGAGCTGTGCGCTCAGGTCAGGTGGTAACCAGGAGGGAGCATTTGACAATTGTGCTCCTAAGCAACGGATCACTCCTGCCCTAATGAGAAAGTCTTTCTTCCACACTGACTGGCACTCAACTCTGCCAGGCCTCATGAAGCTGTGATAGGAATAGGGTACGTTGGTGCTGGCTTCAAGGAGGCAAGGCGATACAGAGGGGACAGAGGGCCGTCCTTGACAGGGCTGAGCTTTGTGGTTCAGACCCTTAAGTGTGGCTGATTGACAGGTGCTCAGAGTCCTTGTCCTTGAGCTCTGTCTTTATCAGACTTTTGGCAGGCATTTTGTGGCCAGCCCAGGGCATCCCGGAGCAAGTGTCTTCTTGAGAAACCCGGACCATCTCTGTTTTGTTATCCTTACCAGCCAATAACACACAAGTCCATCTTGTGTTTGGAAACACTGCCACAGGGAAGGGAGGGGTGGATGGACAGTGGAGCACGGAGGATTTTGAGGTCAGTTAAACTGCGCTGGGATACTCACCTCCAAGACATACAAGTCACAGCACCAAGAGCAGACCTCTGTAACAACTGTGGGCTGTCGGGGGCCAGTGTCATCATCTAGGTGCTGAGCACTGCGTCCCTCTGCTGCAGGGTGCAGATGGAGAGACTGTATCAGCTGCTAGGGGTGGAGAACATGGGGGATTCCTAGCCCCCTCTTCTCAGGTTTCCTCTGACCCTAAAGCATTCAGACAAAGGTTAAAACAAAACAAACAAACAAAGTAGCAGCAACAAATCACCTGAGCGGTACAGGTAAAGCCTGAGTGCTGTGCTGAGTAGCTAGCACAGCCCCTGGGAAGTCCGTAGTTATTTCACAGTTATACATGCAGTTATTCAGCTCATGCATGGCTCTGCTGTCGCTGGTAGAGATTGCTAGGTAAGCTAGCCTTTTATATCTCCTCTCACTGCTGTGCCTTCCAGGTCTTTGTCTGTTCATTTAGTGACTATTTTGTCTTTCTGACCAGGTAAGATGAACAGCTCTCTGGCAGGAATAACAAAACTTACCTGTTGCTTTACTACAGACAAGGGGGGGGGGGGAGAATTGAGCTTCAGAGTCGGTGAGAGACTGCTATTTTGAAGCAGTGGTCCCTGCAAGCTCACATCTCAGACCTTATTTTGAGCTCAATTATCAGCCATCAGAGGCAGTTGTTGGTTTAATTTCTGCTGCAGGGACTTTGGTTAGGGTGAGGGCATGGAAAAGGGGTTATATAAAGTGAGGTGTACATGTGTGTGCGTGTGTGTGTGTGTGTGTGTGTGTGTGTGTGTGTGTGTGAGTTCACAGTGTGATCAGCTTTATCAAGAGAACAGGCTCAGAAGCAGGACTCAGAACTGGCAGAAAATACCTGGTGTGATGGTGCATGACTGTACCAGCACCTGGGAGGCTGAGGCAGGAGGATTGTTGTGAGTTTGAGGCTAGTTTAGACTTGGTAACAAAATTCCAGGTCAGCCTGGGCTACCTAGGGAGGCCCAGTTTTAAAACCATGGAAACAAACCTGGTGGCAAGTAAGCCACTCAGCTGTGGGACGATCTCCCAGGAGCCTCGAGGGCTACAGTGAGGGCTCCCCAACACCTGCTTCCTTCCTGTCTGTAGAAAAGCATTTTATTATGTGTGAACTGGATTTCATGATTTCCTTCCCCCATCCCTTTCCACATCCATTTCCTGTTTCTTCCTCTTCCACTGTGCTCGGCCTACTCTCGCCCAGACTATAATCCAGCCTGCCTCTCCTTCTTCGAAAGGCTTCACCCTGACCCTTTTGCCTGTGGCTATTGAAAATGGGAGTGGTTGTTCCTGGTAGTTTAGGAGGGAGGCTCCAGAAGGCATGTTTCAGCTGATCTTCCTGAACATGGGGGTCCCTCCTTTATTTGATGGGAGAGAGGGTTGGACCGAGATGACGTTTCACTGTGTAGCCCAGGCTGGACTCAAATGCTCAGTTGTCTTGCCATGGCTTCCAGATTAAATGTGTACCACCACACCCTGGCTCAAAGGCTCCTTCTTAGCATTTGTTTTGGCTTTGAGACAGTGGCTTTGCTCTGCCAGCCTTTATGGTGTCCTGCAAGGGTCTGATGCTGGCTGCAAAGGAACCTGGTACAGTGAGCCTTCCTTCTGGCATCTGTCAGAGGGCCTGAGGGAATCCTGTGCTCTTTCATCGGGCCCAAGCTCAACTCTCCAGCCACCCCCCTCCAGGGGGACGGGGTGCTGCCCAGGTGCTAATGGCAGCCACCCCCTTCCAGAATGACCTCTCCCCAGTGTCCAGCTTTCCCCAAAGTTTCCTCCCCTTGGAAAGTATCTCTGACCATCCACCTGGAAGTCCATATAGTACTGAAGGCCAACCTGAACTACATGAGTCCCTGTTCTCTGAAAAGAACAGAGGAAGAGGAAGGGAAGATGAAGAAAGACATCGGCCGGACAAGGCTCAAAGTGGTTGCTTTTCTCAGAGTGAGCCGTGTACTTAGTAACATGTATGTATGCTGCTGCTCACATAGAGTCCCCACGCCAGCACCAAGTGGAGCCTGCTGGAGCTGGAGGGACCTGAGAATGTCGGCCTTCACCTCAACACAGCTGTGCCAGTGACTCGCCCTATAGATCAGTGCCGCTCACAACCTTGGTTCTATCATCAGTGGGCAGCAGCCGGGGCAGAGACTCATCGCTGCTCAGTGCTGAGAATAAGGGGCTGTTGAGTGCTCAGCCCTAAGTGAGACATTGACATCAGTCCCCTCAAGACTCAGGGACTGTCATCAAAGAGCAGGTGGAAAGAATCAAAGAGGCTGAGGATGAGTGCTGGGAAATACTGGCTTCTGGTGGCCGTTTTGCACTCATGAGCTCTGATGGCAGCTGTTTGCCCGCACACAATCACGCCAGCTAGCATTTCAACTTGAGTGAGACTCGGGGCTTCCTAAGGCTCCACCCTTCGTTACAAGAGCTGCTGACCCATGGTGGCTGCTAAAAGAAAGGGAGTCATTTTTCTTTGGGAGCCCACAGCCTCTGGGAGGTTACCCATGTTCCCATGCATGGCCTTACCCTCATGTGTGTGCAGGCAGCAGTGGTGGGCTCAGTGGGATATGCACATAGACATGAAGACTAGAGTGTGAAGTATTTAGAGGGTCCAGGAGGAGCGGGAAGGGGTAGCTAGGTTCAAAATACGTTGTCTACATGCGTAGAATTATCAAAGAATAAACTAAAAAATATTCAGAAAATGAAAAAAGCAAAACGAAACAAAAATCCTCTTTGCCTCTGTCTGAATTCTCCAAGCTGCCTTGCACACCTCCGTCTAGCCGCAGAGCTCCACTCTGCACAGCTCTGCCTCCTGAGAGGCCCCAGCTGGAGGCAGACACACCCAGCCTTTATTTCTACTGGGTTTGCTGTGCCTCAGTCCCCGAGGCAAACAGCTGGCCTCCAAAAGAAATCTTCAATAAAGGAAGGCAGGCTTCACCATCCAGGAATCAGCCTACTTGTTTGGACTAACCGCCAATCGCACTCCGTGATGATGGTGCAGCCAGCTCCCACCCCCCACCCCAAATCACTGCATTTTCCCTTCCTGAATCTTCTCATCTCTTGACCCCCTCCTAAAACATCAGCCTTCTCCACGTCAGGAATGCCAACTGTTTCGGTATTGCTAAAGCCTGTTTTATTCTCTTCCCTTCTCCATTTCAGAAACGAGAAGGGATCCTCCAGTCTCGACAAATCCAAGAGGAAATAACTGGTAACACAGAGTATGTCAACACCATTGTTGCCAGCAAGTCTGTAATGGAACACAGATGTTTCTCTGAAATTCACCCATTTGCTGATATTTAGTTTTCATTTATTGGGATTGCAGGAGGGATTAAGCTACAGCCGATGATTATAGCTTAGCCTTTCCCGTGCATTCAAAACATGCCTCGTGCTGCTTAAGGTACAGCCTTGGGTGGGGAAACAGGGAGAGGAGAATTACCCATGATTGAAAATTCTAATTTTGTGGCACTCCAGGAAAAAAAGTATAACCCCCCAAACAACTAACCAGCATGAAACTGTCATATGTTAAACACGGGGCCAATCAGAATTGTTAATCTTCAAGAGGATGATGTGTTTCTCCCCGCCCTTCTTAAATCTGATTTATTTGGTCATGTGCCGTGACTCAGAAAGCCCTCTCTACCTTACAGATGTCTTTTGGGTTTTGGTTTGGGTTTTTGTTGTTGTTGCTGTTGTTTTAGTTTTTCAAAACAGGGTTTCTCTGTGTAGTCTTGGCTGTCCTGGACTCACTTTGTAGAGGAGGCTGGTCTCAAACTCACAGAGATCCACCTGCCTCTGCCTCCCAGAGTGCTGGGGTTACAGGCGTGTGCCACCGCACCTGGCTTGGTTTTATTTTCCTATTTAGTTTTAGAAATTTGAAGATGAGGAAGTGTAAAAGCTTTGCCATAAGGATGGGGAGATGACAAAGTGTCTGCCCCACAAACGCGCATGAGTTCAGATCCCCAGCACCTGTGTGAAAGGCCGGGCAGAGCTGTGTGCACCTGTTATCCCACCACTGGGGAGGCAGAGACAGGAGGCTCCTGGGACTCGCTGACCATGTGAGCTCTCTTTTGTGTCACACCTACTGTATAACTGAATTCCTTCTCCCTTTCTTTCAGGGCCCTTTCTGGAAGACATGGTGAGTGTGGTGAGCTTGTCTGGCTTTGGTGGCCTAGGGGAAGCCAGTTGGTTCTGCTGTCTGATGTGTGTCTGCCCCAGCTGGGGACACACTGGCTGGGGGTGGGGGGACAACCTAGTGGCATGAAGAACACCCGCTCATCAGCACAGATCTGGCCCCAGCACAGCAGACTTAGCCTGTGCCTGGCATGGAAGTTTAGGAAGAGATGTTTGGACATACTTGGGAGTCCCTACACCGCCTCCTTAATCCCCATCACAGATCCCATCTCCCAGAACTTCAGGATTGTTTGTAGAGGCCCCAAGGGCCAGAGATCACACACTTACCTTCCCAGCAGTCTCAGCTTTGCCCATCAGTGCCCAGGTGGAAAATGCCGACCTTGGGTTCCAGACCCTCCCCAGCCCAGCTTGCTTCCAGAAATGCTCCCTACCCCTGCCTTCATGCCCTTCTGTGGCAGCACCTCTGGTTCTAAGAACCTGGCACCACACTGAGAAGATCCCATGCCAGGAGCATGGCTTGGCTATGATCTGTGAGCCCAAGACTTGGTGACCTCATGAAACATTTTTATTATACTAAAAACTCCATTGGGAGGACGCATGTCTTTTATACCTACCACCCGCCTGGGGAAGGCTTATCTTTCAGATGATGTTTGGTAGAAGAGGAAACTGAGGCACACAGGGGTTGACTTGGAACCCCAGAAAGAGTCTCTTGTTCTATCCTGGAAGGCACTGGGCCCTTGTGCCCTCACCTCTGCCCCTACCAGGACAATTGTCTTGAATGTTAGCCAAAGCAATTTGATGTTTGGATAACAAATGACCAGAGAATGTCAGAAACACTTTAGAGTTGTGACTGCACTGGGACATGGTGGGATAGAAGTGAGGAGGAAGGACCAAGCCCAGGTCAGCCTGCATAGAAGCAAGCGTCACCTGGACAGGGGCTCTGGGCTAAGAATCAGAGATTCCCTGTGGTAGACAGCTACACGCTTCACTGCATGGCGTGTTTCCCTCTTTCAGAGCGCGATGCCTTCGACACGCTGTTCGACCATGCGCCCGACAAGCTCAATGTGGTGAAGAAGGTAGGCCAGTGGTGCCTGGGGCAGCCAGGGATGGGACCCCACACTGCACGAGGAAACCCCAGCTTGCACCTGGGGAGACCTGGACATCTTTTCCCTCTCTTGGTCACTGGTTAGTCATCCTGAGTCCAGCAGGGTGCCCACACCGTCTTCCCACTCACACTGACTCTGTCTTCTCTGCCCCTCACACAGAATTCTTCCTCTCCCTGGGCACAGGAGGTGCTACCAAAGCAGGGATCAGCAAGGGGGATCCATTTTTGTCTCTTGCCCTCTTCTCAATTCCCCTTCTCCTGGATGGCCCAAACGGATACTCTCCATGTCTGTCACCCTGTCTCTCAGAACTCCCAGCCTGTGTCTCATGTGGGCTGCCTAACCAAGAGCCTGGGCCTCTCCATGACCCCAGGGCCCTTCCACACACGGAGGTCTCCACCTCAGTGCCTCTGCGCTTCTCTTTCAGACCCTCATCACGTTCGTGAACAAGCATCTGAATAAACTAAACCTGGAGGTCACAGAACTTGAGACACAGGTGAGTGACAGCTCCAGGGACGAGAAAGCTTTCCAGGCAGAGGGATGAGATGTGGGATGTATTCTTCCCGGAGAGCTGAACCAGGTGGGGGCTTTCCCCATGCTGACTTTAGAACATCACAGGAAGGTCTTCTGTCTAATCTATACGAGACATGCAATACGTGGCCAAGCTTACTCTCTCTCCACCCCTGAATAGCTCCCTCCAAACAAGTTTGCTGTCTCGAATCACCACTGTCCGCTGGCTAAATGCAGGGAGTTTTAGGAGCAGCACCCTATATTCTTCTGTTCAGAGGGGGATCTTGAAGTGATATTGGTTGGAGCAACTAAAATGGGGTTGTGTCACGGTTAGAGGACAGTCACCACTGTTTTCCCCTGCCCTGTGCTGAATTATCTGTCCTGTCTTTAACCCGCAGCCTCTAACACTCACCCTTTCTTGGAAGGACATAGGTAGGGTTTTGTCATTATTTTACTCTTTGATCGGTTCATACATGTATATAATACATTTAGACCATACCTACCTTATTCTCTCTTCCCATCTCCTCCCAGACACCCCAATCCCCCTTCCAACTTTATGTTTTCCTCTTCTTTTTTTTTTTTTTTTTCTTTTTTTAATAACCTACTGAGTTCAGTTAGAACCGCCCAAATTCACCTAGGCATAGGGCCATCCATTGGGCCAGAGGCAACCTACCAAAGAGCTCACCTCTGAAGAAAACTTACCCCTTTCCCCCCAGCAGCTCCTCAGCTAGGGCTGGGGCACTGTAACACGCCCCCCCCCAAGATGGCAGTGGTGATTTGGAAAAGTGCCAAGCAAATGATCTGTAGGCCATGCAAGACTGTTCACTGCCCAGCCCAGCACTCTTAGGAGACACTAGCCCTACTACAGTAGTAAAAGAGACTACCAAGTGGTGTCTCCTGCCCCCTGGCCAGAGCCTGCTGCAGTTATACATAACAGCTAGGCTGGCCTTTGTGTACCCGAGTCCCCGAGCCTCTCATTCTAGGTGAGCTGCCGCTGCCTGATGTGCAGTGTGAGCGTTTTCTGTCCTATTGAGCCTACTCCAGGCCTCGCTGGGCTCTCTTCCTGTATGTCTGAACTCTGGGACAATCCAGAAGAGTCCTAGAAAAGTAGCTGAGATGATCTCTGGAAGGTCCCAGCGTCTCAGGGCCAGGGCTGCTGTCTGAGCGGGCACTGCTTAGCACTCTGGCATCTGTCCGCAGCATCTGTCCCACCTCCTTCCCACCTAGTCTGCAGAACCAGCAGGCAGGGAGCCACCATCTGCCTTTCCCTCTGAGCAGAGTCATCCTAGCCCTCCTGGCTCACAGGCTGGTTGCATTCCACTTAGCCTACTCCAGCCACAGCCAGGCCCAGGCTTGCTGCTTGCCTCACTGCAGAGGGCTCTGATCTCCACAGATTCTGAGCTCCACTCTCCAGGTGGCATGGGATGCCTGGAACAGGCCTCACCTGCCCAAAGTGACCCAGGAGAGTATGGAGGACTGCTTCAGTTCCAGCTGAGCTTGAGGCCCCCTGTGTCATCTGCCTCATTCTAAGAAGTTTAATGAAGATGCTCCAGACCCATTTCACTAGTCCATTTCACTCTCTTAATAGGGCAACAGTAGGAAGTATGGCTTGCAAACTCTAGCATCTGTGGTCTACAGACAGGTGGTGGCCCAGCATCCTCTGAGGGGTGCTAGGATATGAGATAAGCACCTGACTGAGACATCTCTGCTCACCTCAACACCGAGTCCTTCCAAAATGCCCCGATCACCCAGGATCTGCAGGCTCGCCTCCCTAGAACAAAGCGTTCTATACTTAGCCCAAGAGTCTGGTCTTTGGGCTCAGTTCCCCACCCCCAGTAGCTCCATTTCCTTGAAAGGGACTAGACCTCAAGCCCCTTTCTGTGGCCCTTAACAGAGTTCTGTTTGGTCAGCAAGAATCCCAGTCACTTTGTCATTTTCCAGACAGCGAAGCAGGTCCCCAGGTGCTTTAGACACTGTAATTCTATACTTTACTAGTCTGCCTGTGGAATCCCAAGGAAGGGACACAGAAGCCAGGCTCAGGTGTTGCCACCACGTTCTCTCTCCCGAAGCAGAGTAACTGAGGACCCTCACGTCACTCTCCTTGCCCGTCATCTGGCCTCCCTCCTGACACCTCCGTGCAGTGGTGCCCCTTCCAAACAGCAGGGTGGCCAGCCCCTGCACCTCACTTTTCTCACCTGGAGAGTGGGGTGCATTTGTTCAGTGTCCATTCCACGGGATTTGCTGAGGACTAAGCTAGGCCTCTCCCACCTTGGCCCCCCAGGAGCTCCCCACCTCCCCTTGCCCTCGCTCACACCAGCAGCCTGCCTTGGGTGGCCTTGGGTGGTGAAGGCGCCTCCTGCTGATGCCTGGCTCTCCCCGCAGTTTGCAGACGGGGTCTACCTGGTGCTGCTCATGGGGCTCCTCGAGGGCTACTTCGTGCCCCTGCACAGCTTCTTCCTGACCCCCGACAGCTTTGAACAGAAGGTAAGGAGGAGGGACCCTGGGGGAGCCCACAGCCCGTGCTCAGCTCACCTACGCTGGGCCTGCCCAGGGCGAGGTGGACGCGGGCTCCTGGCCAGGCCTCTGCTGGCTGGAGTCAGAGCCTCTCTGGAGAGCCTCCTGCAGGCTCCAGGCATCCTGAACCCTGTTCTTTGCCTTTCATCTGTCCCTGCCATGTGCTCCTGTGGATGCACAGCCAGCCTTGTCTCTGTCAGAGGTGACAGCAAAGGTAGCTCCCGGGCCAGTTAGCCCTGAGGTCCACAGCCAGGCTGGTTCTTCTGTGCATTGTGTGTGTGTATGTGCACACGTGTGTACTTTGGTGCTGTAGAGGCCAGATAAGGGCACTGAGTCCCCCGGTGCTGGCAGTTGTGAGCCACGTGGGTGCTAAGAACAAAACTCAGGCCCTCTTAACCGATTAGCCATCTTTCTAAGCCCTGGGTCTTTTCTGTTTTGGTGGAGGGAAGAGAGGCTGTTTGAGACGAAGGTCACCCTGTAGCCCAGACTGGCCTGGGACTTAGATTGTAATGAAAGCTGGCCTCAGACTCACAGCAGTGTTCCTGCCTTATTGTCCTAAATGCTGGCATTACAGGAGTGTGTGAGCGTGCCAGTGAGTGTGTGTGTATGAGTGTATACATGAGTATATGTGTGAACGCGTGTGTGCATGTATGTGTGTGTGTGTGTGTGTGTGTTGCTAGAAAGTGAGATGAGTCTCCAGCCCCTTTGTAAACAACCGGGTGCTTTTGTTTTGTTTTGGGCTAGTCTGGTTCTGCAGCCCCTCGGAGCCCGCCGCTATCCTGCCTGACTGGACAAAAGGCATTTGGTGGAGGGCGCCTTGAACCCGCCTTGCCACCTGACCCTGACAAATATATTCAGGTTATCCCTGGATTTGGAGTCCTGACAATTGATGCGGGGATGGAGTGGGACAGAAAGAGCCCTCATGGTGGTGGCTAAGATCAGCACGGCCACTCTCAGCACAGCCAGCCCATTTTTCTAGCCACAGACAGACCAGCCTCAGGCCCGTAGCTATGGTGCAAGGCTCCCAGGCTCTCCAGGAGTAGGTCCTAGGGTCCTGGAAACAGGATCCTGGCACCCCAGGGCCCTGGGGTCCCGGAGGTGTGCACTGACATATCCACTGCACCTGTCTTGCCAGGTCCTGAATGTCTCCTTTGCCTTTGAGCTCATGCAAGATGGAGGGCTGGAAAAGCCTAAGCCTAGGCCGGAAGGTACTTTGCCCTTCCCTGGGTCTGTGACGGTGGGGTGGGACCCTCATTTATGGGGTCTGGGTGACAAATACAGTAATCTCTCAGTATATATGGGCAGTTTGTTCTAAAACCCTACAAGAATACCAGAGTCCAAGGACAGGCAAGTCCCTTAAGATGGTTGGGTGTGGGCATAGAATCCAGGCTCGCTCTCCCACATTCATTCAGCCACCTGTGCAACTGTTAATTACATCTATCGCCATGTGAGTATTATGGAAATAGTTGTTATGTGGCTTTGTTGAGGAAATAATGACATGAGGGAAAGTCTGACCTGTTCAGTAGAGATGCAGTCTCTCTCTCTCCCTCTCTCTAAGCATGTGTTTCCTTCTCCCTTCTCTCTCTATTTCTTTTCCTCTCTGTCTCTCTGTGTCTCACTTTCTCAGAGGTGTGTGTGTGTGTGTGTGTGTGTACACAGAGGCCACAGAGGGTCCTCCTCTGTCACTTTCTACCTTTGAGGCAGGGTCTCCTTGAACCTGGAGCTTTGGGGTTTGTTTTTTTGTCTTGTTTTGTTTTTCCCAGCAAGGCTAGCAGCCAGCAAGCCCCAGGAATCCTCTCACAGCATACAGGCCCTCTCCCAGATTGCTGGGGATATGGATATGAGCTCAGGTCCTTCGGGTTGTGAAACAGACGCTCCTAAGCACTGAGCTGTCACTCCGGCCTTAAAACTTTCTAAAAATGTTTTCCACACACGTTGCCTGTATCCACACACATGGATGAGAGGGTACAGAGGGTCACTGTGTGAGATCGGGGAAGACAAAGCAGACGTGCATGCTCAGGCACACCTGCAGTGCTGCCACTTGGCTGCGAGTGTGCGTTTGAGAGCGCAAGGCACGCCACTGTTCGCCGCCACCCCGGTACACACTCTCCGTGGCACTTGCTGCAGTTCTCCATGGAGTCGGCGCTGGGAGGTTGACACTGGGCTGCAGGTAACATCTGTCAGGCTGGGACTCCGAGAAGGCCATCCACGGGGCTTTGTGCCTGCGCCTTCCTGGTCACCAAAAGGCATGGGGCAGCCAAAGGGCACGGTTCCTGCACCAAGCCGCTTCCTTGCCTCCTGTCCAAGGTCTGCCTTCCAGACCCTGCACCTACACGGTGACACTTGTCTCGCCAGTCTGAAACACTGCACGTCATCATACGCAGTAAAGAGAAGTCTGCCCCTATCCTCAAGGCTCCTGCCCCCAACCGGAGGAAGGAAAGCATCATTAGCTGCCCAAATCATGTCATGGGAGTGGTCAAGGCAGAGTAACACAGAGGCTGTGTGGTCGGAGGACAGGGTCCCTTTCTGTCTGGGTATAGTAAGGAGCAGTGTGATAGACCCCAGGACAGTCAGGATACAACAGAATGTCTGGCAAGAAGTATGATTGACACCAGGGTGAAGGAATAAACCATGGGCCCGGACAGGGACAGGGACCCTAGTTTGTGATTCCTGCAGGCCTGGGTCCTATCAGCTCAGCTGATTACGCTCAGTGCTTCCTTCACACCTTGTCCCATGCCCATAGAGTGATGGTGCCCCCAGGAGCATTCTCCCTGGCCAGCTTCTCCTTCCTAATGCTCCTATGGATGAGCTCTAGCATCCTACAGCAGCTCCAGCTCCTGGCTTGGAATGCACTGGTTCGTTTCCTTATATTTTGGGTTGTGAGCTTAGCCTTTAACGGCTGAGCCGTCGCTCCAGCCCCAGCTTCACTTTCTGTGGTTGGCTCCTTCAGCTGCTTTGTGGAAACTTCCAGCCTGCAGACCGGAGAGGCCTGTCCTGATGCGTTGGTGTGTGGCCTTTGTTTCCCTCTGGACAGGGAGAACTCCCCCAGTGTCCGTCTATAGGGCTATTTTGTGTATGGATGAGCTTTCGAATGTAATTATTGACCCACTTACTTAATCTGAAGCTTCCCGAGCGACGGCAGTGGAAAAACACATGTGTCTTATTTGTTGTTGCCCTGGGCATCGTGCCCATGCAGAAAATTTCCAGGGCGTAAAGGGGGGGTTGCTGAAGTGGTGCTCTGTGAGGCTGGACTCGGTAAGCAGCCAATCCCAGCATTCCCTCTGGCTTCCCTCTTTCTTCCTGGGAGATGTGACTTCCTAGTCTACACTGCAGACATTATGGGTCCTTCAAGGATGTCTCCAGGTCCAGACACCATGATGGAGACATTTCTCGTGGCAAGCTGCTGAGTCAGGAGTCCTCAGAGCTCTGTAATTCACACCCACCCCCATGCTGCCTGGGCTCCAGAGCCTCTCAGGGATCTAACAAGCTTAAGCATCACATTCATAGCCAATGGAGCAACTGATATCCAGGTGAGGAACCAGCCTAGGGGCACAGGACTGTAATCCCCAGAACACAGGAACAAGAGAGGCTGAAGTAGGACTTAGAGAGTGATTCAAAGCCAACCTTAGTGAGACACTGTCTCAAACTAACATGTAAATGAAGGCTGAGGATAGTACCTGGGTTTAATACCCAGTATGGATGAGAGAGGAAAGGAAGGGAATTGAGGAGAGAAAAAGAAGGGAGGGTCAGAAAATCAAGGAGGAGAAATGAGAATGGGGACTATTGATGTAAGACTAGGGTTTGTTATTGAGGGCTACACGTCTTCAAATGCGCATGTCCCGCTATTCCCACCATTCAAGGGGCCTCATCATTGAATATGGTCAAGATCCCAGTGTGCCAGGCAGTATGGGACTCGGGAGAAGCCCAGTGCGGTCAGGATCAAACTGTGGACAGCCAGCGTGACATACACAAACCGAGAGGGGTCTGCCAGCTGGGACAGGCTGTGCAGCGAGCACCAGCCAATGGCAGGGCAGTTGGCCTTGTCAGCCGCCTTCCCCATAGTCCTGGATTAATTACAGTGTGCAGAGCTGACAGTAATAGTTTCCTTGAAATCAGATCTTCTCAAAGACATGGAGCCATAGAAAGTGCAGGGGCAAGGGGGAACAGCCGCAGCTATGTTGGAAAACTGTCTTCATCTGATGTTGTTGGGAATCTCCAACACCCTGCATGGCAAGCAAGGTACCCCATGCCCCAAGGGTCCCCACCGTACTCTTTGTATAACCTATACACATTACCTTGGCAAAAGGAACTTGGCAGATATTGAACTGGTGCTCTTGAAACAAGAAGATCCTTCCAGACCATTCCAGGAGCCCCCATATCGTCACAGCCATCCTGACAAAGCTACAAGAACATCAGAGTGATGGGGTGTGAGGCAGGCTTGCCTGGCCACTGCTGACTGGAAGTGGAAAGGGGCCACAAGCCAAGGCACTCGGGCAGAATCAGTGGCGGGGGAAGCCAGTGGGAAGGGTTCTACCCTGAGCCGTAGAGACCAAGTCAGTGCCTTGACTGCAGCCCAGAGAAGCCCACTGGGGACTTTTGACACCTAGAACTGGGAGGTGACAAATCTGTGTTGTAGGTCACCAGATCTCAGATTATTTGTTACAACAGGAACAGGAAGTTAGAATACCCTACGGTCCCACAGCTCCATTCACAGGTATGCGTGGCCACAGGAGAGAATTCCAACGGTAGAGCCCTTTCACTTTGCTGGTGGCACTGTCCATTAGTCCCGCCCCTGTGGAAAATGGTAGGGGGTCATCCTCAGAAAACTATAAATGGAGTTTCTATGCAATGTAGCAAGCCCACTACTGGGACTGGAGATGAATTGAGTGTGTCAGAGACATACCTGCAGGCGCCTGTTCTCTGCAGCTTGAGTCACAGCAGCTGGAAGATGGAAGAGACCTAAGTGCCTGTCAGTGGATAAACAGGAACTGTGGAGTACCGTTCAGCCGTGAAAGAGGTTGAATTGTTGCTGTTTGTAGCAACATACATAAACTGGAGGATATGAGCTTAAGTGAAATAAGCCAGATGGGAAAGGCAAATACCTTGCCATCTTTGTCATGTGCAGGATCCAAAGGAGGTGATCTCACAGAAATCAAAAGCGGGGTAATGCTCATCAGAAGCTTGGGGTGCAGGGGAGCAGGTGTGAGACAATTTTTGAATGTTCTCAAAACAAAGGAATAACTAGTGATAAGCATACTAATTATATTGCTTAATCATCACGTAAAAGATTCACAAACAGAGATACGTCATGGAAGCCGACAACTACTCAGTATGTTCTATTAAGCAGGGGGAAAAAAAGTTGAGTCGTTGTGGAGGTGCACGCTTTCAATCCCAGGACTCAGGAGGCAGAGGCAGCCAGATCTCTGTGAGCTTGAGGCTAGCCTGGTTTACAGAGCTAGTTTAGGACAGCCAAGGCTGCACAAACAAACCCTGTCTAAAACAAAATTAATTATCTAAAAAAGTAGGATTGGCAAGATGGCTCAGTACACAAAGGTGCTTGCTACCAAGCCTGACAGCTGAGTTTCCCTAGAACCCATGTGGTAGCAGAACAGAAGCAACTCCCTAAAATTGTCTCCTGATTTCCAGTCCTGTACTCAAATAGATGAATATTATTATAATAAATAATAAAAAAATATGTGCCCATAATATCTTCAACTTGTATGGTTCCTGGATAGGTGGAGTCCCTGGTTCCCAGGAGAAGGAAGAGGAGCTAGGGAACCCTTTCCCTAGCCCAGGGCTGTTTTCTCCTAGAGCAGTTTTGGCTCTGACCTGGTTCTCCTTAGCCTCGGCCCTGGCTGTATGCTCCCAGAGAGTAGTTCTGGACCAGCCACTGAGGTCACTTATCTCACGGTTGATTCAACTGGGGCTTTGACGGACTCTGTTTACATAGCAGTAAGCATCTGTATGTTCCCAGGCACCCGCAGCCTTTCCCCTGCGGACATAGCTCAGTCTCTGGGTGCTCTGCTAATCTGCCTGGGTTAGCCTAGATGCCCAGCATTGGCTTTCTTGGTGAGAACATATACAAAGCATCTATCCCTTCATTTCCACATGTACCTGGTAATGGTGACGGAGACGGAGAATCAACTCAGAACATCTAAGGAAGCAGGGCTTCTCCATGAATAGCGACCCCTGCCAATTCTGTGCGTGCATGACACAGCTGTATGTACCAGCTCTGTTAATGAGCAATGGTGGGAACACTGGAAGGTTTTTATTAAATATGTACCTAATGCATTCTAGGCATTCATCATAAAGCTGTTGCCAGTTTTACCAGTAAAAAAACAGGTCCAGAGAAGTTGACCACTGGGATATCAGGGGGTGGGGAAGATGGGCATCAAACCTTAGTTGACGTTAAGTTGAAATAGAATGGCCAGTGCAGATGTCCTCTCTTGTTGAACACTGGTTTTCCCTGTCAATTTCAGAATTCACCTGGCTTTAACAGGCAGAGGCAGAGGCTGGATGGTTTAGAGCACTTGCTGCTATTCCAGAGGCCCTAGGTTTGGTTCCCAGCTCCCACATCAGGCAGCACAAGCATGCCTAACTCAGCTGCAGGGGATCTGGCGCCCTCTTCTGGCCTCCATGGGTACCTGCACACATGAGGTACACGTACAGATATGCAGGTACACATACAAACACATGTTGAGAAGAGAAGAAAGAGAAAAGATAAATTCCCTGAATCTGTAGACCTGCCTTCCCAGAGCTGTCCCCAGTGTGTAATCCCAGTGTTCGCAACCCCCCATGAGTGAAGAGAACAGGAATCAGCCCAGATTCTATAAAACTGCACCAGGAAGAAGGTGATTCTGCTGGGACTTGAGGCAGCACAAGCAGGGCACCATGGCAGGGCCCTGCCACCAGCCAGGATCTCAAGTGGAGACCGAAAAGAAGCCAAAAGGGGAAGCTTTGGGCTCCATGCCTCTCCAGCTGTCCTGGTAGCCCATTCTCTGTCAGTAGGGGATTTGAGTGTGCATCTGGACACAGCTGGGGTAGAGTAGGCTTGGTCTGCAAGCAGGATCCCAGAATCAGACATGAGGAGAGGCCTCTAAGGCAGTCTGCAGCTCGGGACCCTCGTCCTGCAGCTGTGTAGTGCTTGGAGCCTGAGTCTAGACTTCAGGCATGCGGCTGTTGGAGCTGCAGCCACAGTCTCAAAGCCAAGAGAACCCCCACCAGCCCTCCAGGGGCTCTGACTTCCCACCTTCTCCCCAGTGGTTTTGGACCATCTCTCCCACCTTGGAGCCCACGTTAGGTATTATCTTAGGGCACCTGCCTCATGTGACCTGTGACCTTCACGCTTATACTTTCAAATGCTATTTTTAAACGACACAGGAACAGAGAGGCAGCCCACCTAGGTCAGGACAGGAGGGTTGCAACTGTCTTACATGCCCTGTGCCTGCCTTCCATGGCACAGTCCTCTTTCCTCCCAGCCTCCCTCTCTAAGGCGCCTGCTGTCCTCATTTCCCTCATTAGCGCCTCGTGATACCCAGCCTTTCATAGTCACTGTGTTTGTTGGGCTTTAGTTTGCAGCCCACCTGTGCATTCCTAGATAGCAGAATTGCCTTTTCTTCCTACGTTTACTCTAGTTCTTCAAAGAAAGGCTCACTGAGGAAGGACAGAGGGGAAGAAGGTGGAGGAGCCTACAGAGAGTCGAGGGGCACCTGGAAAAGGCTGTGACGGGGAAGTAGATGGATAAGGGTGTGGAAGGAAGAAGGAAGCTAGTTGCTAGCCTCCCTCCACCCTGTGCAGGCCTGTGTCCTGTGCCCTGTGCCCTGTGTGGTTCACCTTTCTTCTCCTCTTCCTCCTCCCTCTCCTTCTTCCTTCTCTTCCTCTTTGACTCAGACTCAGAGATCAGAGATCCACCTGCCTCTGCCTCCCAAGTACTGGGATTAAAGGCATGCACCAACACACTCAGCTCAGGTGTCCCCTTCTCCAAAAACACTCTCATGCACTGGATGAAGGTAGAAGCTGGGAGAAGAGCCTTAGGGACAGATGAGATGGGCCAGAGCCAAGGCCAACACCCCTCTCACCCGGAGCTGCCGTGCGCATGGTGAAGTCACACTCTGGGTGCCTGCCTTGTTTCCATGGGACTGAAACCCTAATATCTGGGCCCTTCTGCCCTTATTGTTTGCCTATTCTGAGCTCACACTGCCCACCCACCCACCTCTGCACACCCAGCTGTCCCTGATGGCCATGAGCCGCATCTGAGGACCATGCCGGACAGATGAGGATGAGTGATGGATGGCAGGGGACCATCAGTGCCAACTTTAGGGTGTATGGCCCACAGAGGCCATTGATGAGTTCTGTCTCTCCGCAGACATTGTCAACTGTGACCTGAAGTCCACGCTGCGAGTGCTGTACAACCTCTTCACCAAGTACCGGAACGTGGAGTGAGGATCTGGGCTGCCTCCCGCTGCCCGGCCATCTCTCGTGCAGGCCATCTGGACCAGCTTCCCAACTGCCTTGCCCTGCTCGCTCCTGTCTCTTGCTCTACGCTCTCCCACAAGCCCAGTGACCACCCAGACATAGTGGACGTTAAAATCAGTAAGGAAGTGTCCACTAAGACTATCTGAAGGTCCTGGGGACTGAACCAGGAGTGACTTGGGAAATTGTCCCCATCCAAATTCAGGCCCCAGATGATCCTACATTTTCTGTGGGAATCAGGACAGCCTAGAGACAGTCCTCCAGAGCACAGAAATAAAAATCAGAGCTAATCCCCGCACTAAGGGAGTGAGGTACGTCTCTACTATGTTCAAGCTCATAGCTTCACGCCCCCATTAAAGGAGATACATAGATGAGGAAACTGAGGCCCAGAGATGCAAAGGTTTGCTACCGATTAGCAGCTATTTTTCCTCTCTGGGTAACTTGCTGGTTAATACCCGGTCGACTGCATTCCATTCTGTGTGTGCCCTCACGTGTGTTCATCCCCTCGCAGAGCCGCCTTAACCTGCACACACCTGCATCCTCTAGCAGAGAAGACGCTCTGATCGCAGCCTAGGGCACACCAGGTCAGGGCTGGGTGATTTCGAACTAAAATTGCCAAATTGAATTTAGCTCAATTAATACTGTGTATGTGTGTGTAGCAGGAACCTCGTCCCTCAAATCCTTTGTACAGATGAAAATTACCCTTAATTCCTTCAGATTGGTAATAAGCCCACGCTCCGGTTGCAGGATGACATTTGGGAAGGGTTCTGTTCGGAATTAATAGAGTGCCCATTTTGCAGCCTTTTTGCTTGATTGCATGTAATGGATGTGCCCTATATTTTCCTGCAAAATAAGTACGCAATTCATTATCGTTAGGAAAATGTAGGGTATAGTTGCGCATAGCAGAGAGCTGGCCACAGACCCATTGGAGCATCACCTGAGAAGTAGGGCTTGTCAACAGGGACCCTTGAACTAAAAAAAAAAAAAAAAAAAAAAAAAAAAAAAAAAAAGACTGCCTTTTTGCCTTCTAATTGGTCATTTAGACCATTCTGGCTAAGTCTGCCCCCACGCAATTACTGGCTAATTCTAGGCGCGGAAAATGTCAGCCATTTAAACCAAAGCTCAGTATCTCGTCTCCTCACTCGGGTAACTTAAGGGTTTCTGGTCCCATATCTCTTCACTCAGACCTGACTTTGAAGGGTAGAGTTGTGCTGTAGCAGTCTGCACTGAGGCCCTGCAGAGAAAGCAAAGAAGCTGGTGGATAGAGAAAGGGTCAGAAAAAAAAGTTGGGGTGGGAAGCTAGAATCCAGAGCTGCGGTACGGCACCTAACTCTCGTGCCTTCAACTGAGAAGGCCATGGGACAATGAACTGCACCACTGCTGTCTTCTCACGGCTCTCAGTGTGACAGGGAGATGCCAGCTTGGGTTGCCTCCTCCAGAAGTGTCTAACTACCTTGTCCTTGTCTTAGCTACGTCTCTCACTGGAACAAAATCTTCTGATAAAAGCAACTTCAGGGAAGAAGGGCCTATTTCGGCTCATGGTATAAAGGCACACAGCCTGTCATGGAGGGCAAAGCATGGCAGCAGGAGACGCCATGGCAGCCAGGACCCCTCACCTCGCATGTTGTCAGAGTGAGGAGAGAACACACAAGGAGTGGGGCTGAGTTATCAGACCCCAAGGCCCTTCTCCAGCGAGGCTCCACCTTTTGAAGGTCTCACAATTTCTCACAACAGTGCCACCAGCTGAGGACCAAGTGTTCAAAATGAGACACTTCCCACGTGCCAACTGAAACATCTGGTGAAGCCCTCCATAATTTGAGGACTCGCTAAGATGGCTTCCTAGACTCTGGCCTCCCTGCTGTTCATGGCATTCCCAGAGTGCTCTTGTCTCTTTTTGTACTGACCATCCAGGGCAGCTCAGAACCCAGAGTGTTTAGATCCACTGTGCCTCTCCCCAACTCTTTGTTCTAGGAATTGTTGCTCAGCACTGTGAGCATCTAAGATGTGAAGGCAATGTACTGTCTAATGTCGATCTGTGTACAAGACCAGAATTCTTCTATGCATAATTAATGAACTATCGTATTTTTCATTAGCTTTATTGCTGGTCTCATGCTCCTTTAAATTCCTGGTAGTAAACTGATATGAATGACGGCTTGGTGTCTGTGAGCAGCACTGACGTAGGACGAAGTAAGGCCTGCATCTGCTTGAACGTGCTTTGCTGTCAGGATTGGGCCTTGTTCCTGGTACTCAAGCTGTTAGTACACAGTATTCTTCCTAAGGGCACTCCTTTGGGGTTTTATATTATCTGCAGAAGGAAACCACATCAGAACTCGGAAACTTTCTTAATAGCATGTCAGTGTACCCAACAACTGGGTGTCAGGACTACAGTCTTTGCCTCAGTCCTGTGCTCAAGGCCTATGCCTGGTTTTATAACCCTGTTGTCTCATGGAGATGGGTGTTTTCCTTTAGATTCTAGGATCTCGTACTTAAGACACAGGCCTGGTTTTGAAGAAGAGACATTGTCAATATTAGTAATCAAACAGCTTTCATCTCCTAAAATAAAAGGGGGGGGGGGGAGAAGAAACTGAGACAAGAATCATTCTGGCTCACAGTCTGGGGGTACAGGGTCGGGGTGGTGGAAGGCTTGGCTGCAGGAGTGAGGCACTGGCTGCGTCTGCAGATGGGAAGCAGAGAGAGGTGAAGGCCGGTGCTCAGCCTACTGGCTTTTCATTCAGTCTGGAAGTCCAGCCTAGGGAATGGCGCCCCCACGCTCGGGTGAGTCTTTCCCCTCTCAGCTAATCATTGTTGTTTTTAATAACTGATACATGAGTAACACAGAACTCCAGAAACAGGAGTGATGTGTGATTAAAACCCTAAGTGTCCGTCTCTACCTATCCTTGGAGATGACTCTCCATCCATATCTTCTGCATGATTCCAGAAAGACTCTGTGCAAATAAAGCCTGAATGTACGTGCAAAATTTTCGCTGTGGTTTTTTTTTTTTTCCAATATATATATTCTCCTATGGCATTGTTTTCCATTGTGTTAAATCTTGCAGTTCATCTTCCATGAGACATTAAATGAACAGTGTTAAATCTTCTAAATTGTTTCACATAGAGAATTTACACGTTTTTAAAATGAGAGTCTGAATACTTTGCTCATGCCAACGCAGAGCTCTAGTCTGCTTGAGGAAGGAGGGAAGCTGCAGCACAGGGGATGAAGGCAGCATCCTCAGAACAGGAGCTGAAGACACCATCACAGGCATCTCATGCTCCTGGCGCAGAAGTTTTCTGAATCTTCCTTTGGGACATAATGGCAAACTGTGTTTTTTGTGGCTGATGATCTGGGGTCTGGACCCAGGGTCTTATATGTGTTAAACATCCTCTACCTCGGAGCCACACACACACACACACACACACACACACACACACACACACACCCCAAATCAAATTGTGTATAATTTGATTAAGGTTTCATTTTTGCACACAATTAGGTCAACTAACTGGCAATTGACTAAGAAAGCCTTTTAAAGGTTACTGCGTCCCTGCAATCCTGTGAAATCCAGCTGCCTGCCAGGCTACAAGAAAAGACGTAGCTCCCGTGTGCAGGTAGACTTAGTGTATCTCCAACTCAGGGAGGCGGCCTCGCTATCGGCCGCCATCAGCATGGCGTTGGTTGTTTGCAGCTTCCAGCCACTGCCACAGGGACGTTTTAATTATGAATCAGCATTGTCATTATCAGCTCATTTTGTTGTGGGCTGCTTGGTTAACCCTGCAGAGGATATTGAAGCTTATTTACATCAACAGAATTCCAGGGCTGTAATTTCCCAATAACTAGACTCTCCAACATGTATACATTGTGGTCCCCATATGAATCACCCAGCACATGTATACATCAGCCACCCCCGGCCCCCCAAATTAGCACTCATTTATTTTTCCACTGGAAAATGAAACTAGATGGCATCCATAGGTCAGAGGGTTTTATGCTGCCTGAGGAGCAAACTCAGACTCACTGCCTTTTGTACAGCCCCACAGGAATCTAAGCTGGGTGCCCCATCCTACTCTTGCAAGAGAAATAAGTCCCCCTCCCAACCTTCTCTAATCTAAGCGTTACCCACAAGATTCACTTGGCTCTACTAGAAAATACAGGACAGTCCTACAAACACTGGAACCAGGAGAAGCACAAAGGGTCAAGGTTGATTGACACACTCACTGACTGTATAAAATTTTAAGAAAAGTATTTTAACTATTTTTTTGTATGTGAGTGTTTCGTCCATATGTATGTATGTGCAGCACATACATACATGTGTCCCCAGAGATGTCAGAAGAAGGCATCAGATCCCCTAGAACTGGAGTTCTGGATGGTTGTAAGCCACTGTGTGGATATTGGACAAACCAGGGTCGTCTCGAAGAGCAGCGGGTACGCCTAACCTCTCAGCAACCTCTTCCACCAAGAAAATGGAGGAGGTGGCACAGGTTTGTGTGGGGAAAGAGTCTTTCATAAAAGATATTTAGGTATCTGGGGTGGCTCTGGGATCCAGCAATCCCAGGACACAAAGGGATAGCCATACTAAAACCTGTGGAAGTGATCTGATTTGGATTTGGGGGTCCAAGGAGGCTTGTGGAAATGTGACATTCTAAAATCACACCTGTGCCTCAGCTGAAGACGTGAGGGAGCCTCTATCCACACCCTATGAGGCAGGAGAAAGCTGAGTTCTGGAAAGAACTGACAGAGACCAGGAGAGCCACAGTACAGAGTGCAGGAAAAGAGGGGAGGGGTATCGGATCACTTGGTGAAAGAGCACAGCATCTATCACACTAACAATGTAACCTTCCTGCTCTAGGGGGAAAGCTGACACACCCCTCACCTCCCTTCCAAAGTCATGGCTACTGAGCAAAGGGAACTGGAGGAGGAGGGGAGGCTTCCACCCACCCCGCTTTCAGCCCCAAAGTGCCCTCAGTCCATACCCACCTCCCCTGAGGCTGCAAAGAGGGGGCACTTCCTGGCCACCCCAATCTCTCTGTCGTCCATAGAAAAGGGCTAAGAGCGCCCACACCCGGTGGGGGGAGCATCTGTAGAGGTGAAATGGGACAGGAGACTATGGTGCTCCATAAGGCCCAGTGCCCCAACCTTCTCATCTCAGAGGACACCTGCTTCCTTCCTGTGTGGCTCAAGAAATGCTGTCACTCCTCCTGAGTGGGGTGCAGGCTAGCCCACAGATATTAAAACTGTAGATGCTCAAGTGTTCATATAAAATAGTGCAGTGTTCACGTAGGGTCTTAGGAAATGCTCCTGTGTGTTGTCCTCTTGCAACTTATAAGACTTCCTAACGCTACAGGCTATGGGAGAAGGTGTCATTCTGTACTGTTTGGGACACAATGACAATAAAAAAGATCTTCCTATGCTCAGTACAGAAACACAATTTTTCTTCTCGTTAAAAAAATTCATATTTAATGTTTATTTATAGGGAAGGGACATAAGAACTTGCCACAGCATTCGTATGGGAGTCAGAGGACAGCTTGTGAGAGTCAGTTCTTCTCCCACAAAGAGAAGAATTCAAGTTGTCGAACTTGGCAGCAAGTGCCTTTACCCGTGGAGCCCTCCCCCAGCCCCTTCCCTGCGTGTTTGAGCTGCTGTTGGCTGAATGTGTGGTTGCAGAACCCATAAACAGCCTATTTATTAAACTCCTAGATGTAGGGCTAACTAATTTCATTCCCAGGCTGGCAAGATGGCTCAGGACTAGCCATCAGGCCTGATGATTCAAGTTTGATCTGCAGGACCAGCAGAGAGCCAGCATGGAAGGAGAAGACTGACTCCCCCAAGTCAGTCTCTGATGTCCACATACATGCTGTGGCACACACGTGATAAATGAACATACTCTGAAAAAGGATTTGATTTTCGAATTCCCCCTAAACATGGTGCATAATTTTTCATAGTGCTAGCGCCTTACATAACGTCTACCAAAAAGATCACTAAGAGCTTGTGAAGTTCTGTTCTTTTCTCTGAGGGTGTTTATTTTAGACATGAAAGTCCCGGTTGGTCTGCGGCTGGACATATAGCTGAGGATGGCACTGAACTTCTGATCTTTCTCCTCTGCCTCCTCAGCACTGGGATTATGGCTGTGCATCCCCCACAGCTGGCATTATGCAGTGCTAAGTGTGGAACCCAGGGCTTCCTGCTTCCAGGCATCCCCAGCCCAAACTCTGGGAGCTTTGAAATGCTGAAAACATCCTTGGAAAACTCCAGGCGGAGTTTTTGGGTGGAAGAGTCTAGTGGTGTTGGTTCCAGAAACCCTCTATTCCTTGGCAGCCCCCTCACCCCTTCAAATATTGGTGCCTCACTCTGTACCCTGGCTTTGATGGCACCCCTGAAAGGGCACTTAGGGGAATCTGAGAAGTACCCATGAGTAAGATAAATGATGTTTTATCAGTGAAACAGACTTTTCATTTATTTTTATCGATTTTTATGTTTTCACATCGTTAGATATGATCGGCTGGCCCAGGGCGGCATTCCAAGGCACACAAGCGTCCTTAAAGCAAGAGCATGAAAGAGTGTGGTGTTTTATTGAGGTGGACAGGACAATAGATAAATATTTAATCTGTCACACGTTTGTTCAGTAGGGAAGCTGGGGCTGGGGCTGAGTGACTCCCCAGCTGTTCTGTGACTTCCTGGAAACCTCAACAATAGCTTATTGCCCACCGTGGATGCCTGCCCTTGGCAAATATTTGTCAGCATTTCTGAAACCAGCTCCTGGAAGCCTTTCTTTGCTCAGGCCGCTAGGACTACCACCACATTTTCCCTTCTTTGTAATGATACTGGAGGGTAGACACTCTCACTGAATAGGGCACCTGGATTAAAGCCATGAGCCACAAGGTAGCAAGCAATAATCTTGCACTCAGCTAAGATATGGGAAGCCGTGGACTCCATCTCTTCTTTCTGGCTCTCTGTTCACTATAATATGTATGGAAGCTGTGACGTCAGTTTTTTCAACTTGACAATCTAAAATCATCTGAAGAAAGAGGAAGGCCTTGATGTGGGATCACTTACAGAAGGTTGGCCTGTGGGGTTGTTTGTGTCAACTGACGTGGGAGGACCCAGCCCACTCTGGGAGGCACCATTCCCTAGACAGGGGATTTTAGTAATAGAGAAAGCAAGCTGAGCACGGGTCTACAGGCATACATTGCCCTCTGCTTCCTCACTGCCCATGCGAGGAGAGCAGCCGTGTCAAGCTCCTGCTGCTGGCTTTCCTGCTGCCATGCACTGCACCTCGAACAGTGAGCCTGCGTAACCCCTTTCTCCCTTAAGCTGCATCTGTCAGGATATTTTGTCATAGAAATAGGAAAAGAAACGAAGACACTCTACTATCCTGCTTAGGAACTACGTGCTGTCACAAGCATGAACACCTGAGTTCAATCCCCAGAACCCAAGCTTAAAAAAGAAAAAAAGAAAAAAGCTGAGCAGGCCACATGTGCTTGTAATCCCAGAACTGGGAAAGCAGAGGCAAGCAGATTCCCTGGCCAGTCAGCCAAGCCACTTGGCTGGTTCCAGGCCAGTGAGAGAACCTGTCTCACAAAAGAAAAAAGAAAAGAAGGATAGGTAAACTGGGGAAGCAGCTCAGCACAGAAGAATGCTTACTGCTCAAGCATGTGGCCTGAAGTTCAAATCCCCAGAACTCATGAAAAGAGCCCCGTAGGGCCGTGCACTCTTATAGCTCTAGCACCATGGGAGTGGGGGAAAGAGACAGGAGCATCACTGGGGCTTGCTGGCTGCCAGCCTAGCCAAAAATACAGTGAAATTAGGTAGAGAGCAATAAGGCAGGGCTATTCCTCTGGCCTCCATACATATCATGTGAGTACACACACACACACACACACACACACACACACACACAGTAACTATGTAAGTATCTACCCAGGGTGAGAGTGGGGAAGAGGAGAATTGGGCAGAGATCATCTGTGGTGCAGATAGCTCCAGGGCAAG